CACTGTTCCTCCCATACAGCTCAGTTTTTGTTAGTTGGCTTCAAAAACTTTGGGGTGAAGAGAATAGGTATAAAAATTTTAGTGCATTCAGTTTAGCCATTCTTTCTTTCCCCACCCATTTGCAGAGCAAGTAACCTCATTTCCTACTACTGCCTTCCTTGTTCACTTTATAGCAAGGGTTAGCAAAATAAGGCCTGCTCAGCTGCCTGTTTTTGTATGGCGTATGGGCACTGCTCCAGGGGGTTAGCATGGTGACTGTTGGAGAACTAGCTTAGCTGTTTGCCTCTGTTCCATTCTCCCCTTTGCTTCTAGCTCCTGTCCCCCTGGCCAGTGGCCATGCTTTATTGCTGCCCAGACTTACTCTGGTGCTGCCTACACATTGGGTATTCTGCTTGGCAATGGCTTGGAACTAAATGGTAGAATCTCAGTCTGGAAATTGGTGACTCAGCAAATTATCTCACCTCCAACCAGCTGGGGCAGGTGCCCATGGTAGGCCCTCCTTGAGAGTTTTGGTCTCATTGGGGCAGAGTAAAACTGACCATGTCGGTCACTCCTCCCATCTCCCCATGGCTCCTCTCCATCAGACAGGTAATGTTTCTTTGGAGAATGTCTCCAGGATGGCACCTGGGCGGCTGTGTACCACAATTTTGGGATGGCCCAACCTAGGCAAAAAAGGTAGAGGGCAGGGGTTTTTCTCTTGTTATATAACTACTTACATAATTATTACATGCTTGATTTAGGCCTTTTCCCAGCAGAGTCTAGAATATCACTGTTTAGAAAAAAGTTTGCCAGTCCTGGCTCTATGGTCATATTGGCCTCCTTGCTGTGCCAAGCACACCTTTAGGCATGGTTGCCTCAGGCATTTAGCGCTTGCTATTCCTTCCTTATGGGCTTGTTCTTTGATGGCTCCTGTTCCTTCACAAACCAGAATTTTAGGTTTTACTTTTCAGAGATAGAAGAAAACTTTGCATTTTACCGATTCATTTGCTTGGGGCTAGCAACAAAACAGCAAATAGATCCAGTCTTTGCTTTCATGGAATTTAGAATCCTTCGAGAGAAAAGGCAGTAAACATGATCCCACAATTAATATATCACAAATTGTGTTAAATCATATGAAGAAAATGTTCAGGTACCTGAGAAATTATAAATGGAGGGGGAACTAATTTTAAAAAGGGGTTATATTGACTTTTTTTTTTTGAGACAAGATTTCACTCCATGGCCCATCCTGGAGTACAGTGGTGGAATCACAGCTCACTCCAGCCTTGACCTCCTGGGCTCAAGTGATCCTCCCACCTTATCCCCCTGCATAGTTCCCTGGGGACTGTAGGCCCACCACCTCACCTGGCTAATTTTTTGTGTGTGTATGTATAGAGATGAGGTCTTAGTATGTTGCCCAGGGTGGTCTCGACCTCCTAGGCTCAGGTGATTCTCCTACCTCAGCCTCCCAAAGTGTTGGGATTATAGGCATGAGCCACAGCGCCTGGCCTAGATTGACTTTATCACTTCTGCTGCCACCATGGACTACATTGATCCGTGCTAGCGTTGTCTCTTGACTGGATTACTACAGTAGCTTCCTAACTGATCTCTACTTCTGCCCTTGCACACCTACAGTCAGTTTTCTACACAATAGTCATGGTGACTCTATGAAAATAAGTCATGTTACTGTTTTGTCCAAACCTTTTGGTGGTTCACCCTCTCACACTATATAGTAAAACTCAGAAGTCTTACAGTTGCACTCAAGGCATCATTACTTCTTTGACTTCATCACTTTTCTCCCTTGCTTACTCTATGGCCATATTGGTCTCCTTGCCATGCCAGATACATTCTCAAGTACCCTCTTATCCCAGGGTATTGGCACTTGATTTTCCCTAGATTGGAAATCCTCAGATATCTGCTTGGCTCACCTTATCACCTTTTTCACGCCTTTTATAGTCATGCTGTTTTAAAGTTAAAGCTTTTTTTTCATGTAGTCAAATGACCATGTTATTTAAAACGACAACCTTCTTACCTCTCCCCATATATTCACTTTATTCCTTTATCTCTTTATTCTCAGTGGCACTTACCACTGTCTTCTATATAATATTTTTGCTTGTTTGTCTTCCCCTCTAAAAGCTTCACAAGAGCACAGATTTTTAGATGTTTACTGCTGAATTCTTAATGTCCTAAAACTGTGTTTGGTGCATAGTGAGCTCTTGGTATATATTTGTTGAATGAATGAATGAGGAACTTTCTTCGATAACAGTGTCAGCCTAGACAGAAGTGAGAAATGGTGATAAAAAGAATGAAGGCCCTGAGCAAGGAGAGCATGTAATTTAGTGACTAGAATGTGTAGTGAATATCCTGAGATGAGGCTGGAGAGTTGGATGATAGCCAGATCCTGTAAGATCTTCAACATTTTTGGATGTAATTTTAAGTATTATGGGAATCCACCAAAGGGTTTCAGTACTTAATACTTTAGAGTTTATTTCCTGAGTACAAAGATATTCTCCTATATAACCATAGTACAACTTTCAAAGTCAGGAAGTTGGCATTGATTCATTATTACCATATAATCCGTAGAATTCATTCAAGTATTGCTGATTTTCCCAATATTATTTACAGGTTCAGGATCTAATCTAGAATCATGCAGTGCATTTAATTATTATGTCTCTTTAATCTCCTTCAGTCTGGACCAGTTCTTTAGTTTTCTCTTGTCTTTGATGACCTTGACATTTTTGAAGAGGACAGGCTAGTTACTTTTTAGAATTTTCCTCAGTAAGGGCTTGTCTCATTTTCTTGTGATTTCTGCATTTTTGCATAGGAGTGCCAGCGAAGTGATGCTGTATTCTTTCTAGTGCTTATCAGGAAAAATATGATGTGAATTTGTTCTGTAGTGGTAATGTTTATTTTTATCACTTGGTTAAGATGGTGTTTGCCAGGTTTCTTGACCTTACAGTTAATAAGTATGTTGTACTAATTAGTAAATATTTTGTGGGGAGATACTTTGAGACTATGTAATACCCTTTTTCATTACACACTTTTCATTGTTTTAGCCTTTATTGATGAACCGTGCCAGAATTAGATATTATACTCTGAAAGGTACCAAATGGTAATTTTTCTAATTTCCTCTAGATTATGGTACTGTAGGATAGAGTTTTCCCTATTCACCTGTTTATTTACTTCGGAGTGATGTTCTTATTTTCCTCAATGGATTATATTTTACTGTTACTTATATTAGTTAGATTGGTTCTATGCTTGGCCATTGGTAGCCCCTTAAAGCTACCTCCTGTGCCCTTTTGACATGTCCTCATCATTTTTTGAGCACTTCCTTAACTTTCTGGCATAGCAAGATGTTTTAGGCTTGAATATTGAATTTTTTCAGTCTCAGCCCTGGATTCAGCAGTTTCTCTAAGGAGCACTTGGCTCCTTTTAATGCAAAAGATTATCTGGGCAGTAGGTGTGCTTATTGCTACTATAAAGTGTTACTGCTTATACATGTTTATACTGCTTATACATGTTTTAGCATATACATTTAGGAAATACATAGTTACACTTTTATACTTGTTTTTATTTCTCTCTGCTACCTTTAAAAAAAAGAGTTAAAAAACTAGGTGGGTGTGGTGACATGCACCCGTAGTCCTGGCAACTCAGGGGCTGAAGTGGGCAGATTGCTTGAGCCTGGGAGTTCAAGGTTACCATGCGCTGTGATTGCGCTACTGTACTGCAGCCTGGGTGACAGAATGATACCCTGTCAGTAAACAAACAAACAAAGTTCACATTGATATCTCTACTTCCAGTTTAATACTGTGGAGTTACTCTAACCTTCTGCCTTCTCATATTTGTGGATTTTTTTTTTTTTTTTTTTTGAGAAAGGGTCTTGCCCAGCTTGGAGTACGGTGGCGCCATCTTGGCCCACTGCAGCCATGACCTCCAGGGCTCAAGTGATCCTCCCACCTCAGCCTTATGAGTAGCTGGGACCACAGGTGTGCGCCACCACGCCTGGCTAATGTTTGTATTTTTAGTAGAGACAGGGTTTTGCCATGTTGGCCAGGCTGGTCTCGAACTGTAGGCTCAAGTGATCCACCCGCCTTAACCTCCCAAAGTACTACGATTACAGGCATGATCCGCTTGCCTGGCCCTTTCAGGTATTTGTATCTCTGACCTTGAGAAACTTGGCTTCCATTATTTTCAATGTATTTACTTAACTTCATAGTTTTTCCTGTTTATAACCAAACTCCTAGCCATGCCAGCCAAAAACTTGGTCTCAGATATGTTGCCCACTCCTGTTGAAAATTTGCCCCCAGAAATAATCATTACAAAAATACCCCTGATGAAGGGGTGGGGGAAGTTTAAGGAAAAAGGAAAGGAGGAAAGATTAGAGGCCAGTTAGAAAGCTTGGCCTGACCCTTTTCTACTCCTTTCCCTGCCAGACTTGCTGACTGAAAGCTCACCCTGATAGGGGGAAGACTGCTTTATATTTTGTGATCATTCTGGCTGCTATGCAGAAAACAGGTTGGAAAGAAAGAGAAAGGAAATGGAGAGATTGTCTAGGTAACTTTTGGATTTCTAGCTGAAAGACTGTGGTAGCTTTGATGTGCTGTGTGGCAGTGCTAGAGATAGATAGTGGTGGGCTTACCCAAAACATTTGAAAGTTGGTAAGCCTGCTTTTAATTGGCAGTTTACCAGAGATGCTAATTTATCTAATGGATATAAACATAGTTGTTTTAGTAAGAAATAGTATTTTTAAGAAATATTTTGGTTTTTGGAGCAGATGTTAGTTTGCTTTCAGCCAATAACAGTTGATAAATATTTTTCTGTGGTGGTGGGTATGAGTTTTTGTTCATAGTTTTTCACTGCATACATTTTTTTAGCTTCTGGTTTATGTATTAAAATACTTTGTTTAATATAAAATAGCTGCTCGAAGTAAGCTTGAATAATTTTTGTATCATTTTAAACCAGTTGTAATTACATGAATGTATGTAATATTTGGCTCTGGTAATTATTAATTCTCTGTTTTTTAGATATTATGATCAGATTTGTTCTATTGAACCCAAATTCCCATTTTCTGAAAATCAGGTAAGTCATTAATTCTGTCTTAAAAGTATATGGTAATGGCACCCATTTCCTTCTGCCAATATCTTCACTGTCTTTAGAGTTTCATGAGATTGTGTTATAAAAATAGGAGCTTTTAGGTCTGTCTGATGTGAATATATGTGCTTCTGAAGAAAGAATCTCCTGGAATTCCATTCATGTCATTCTTCAGTCACTTCTGGGGCTCATGTAGGACAATGGTTTGTTTGTTTTTTTTTGGACTTCATTTTATGTCAGTAGGATTTATTGACTGATTAATCTACTGTGTCCTTCCCTTTGACTTTTTCAGAATTAGGAAGGAAACTGTAGAATTTAGGAATTATTAGTCTCAGTTTATGTGCTTTAAAAATTATTTGCACAAGTTACCAAATGCTGTTGTGATTAAATGTTAATTACACAAATGTCAACTTTATTTTCTCCTTAAAGGCTAGATGTTGAAAATGCTGATAATTTCTTACAGTTTTATTTTGGAGATTGGATAAAGATTTTAAAATTAGTGATACTTTTAAATTTTAAAATAGTTATAAGAAAAGTACTTTACACATTCTTGTACTAAAGTTTTTACAGGTGAAATAATTATATGTTGAGATTTCCTTTAAAATATTCCTGGGAAAAAACTGTAGGTGACTGGAGGCAGGACAAGTTGGGAGGTAGATGAACCAAGAAGGGCAAAAGACTAAGGCTGCTGATGGATATACTGGAGTTCATTCTCTTTATTCTCTGTAGTTTTTCTGTATATTTGAAAATTTCCCTAATCAAGAATTTAGAAATTTTTATATTAGATTATAATAAATAATTTAAATGAGGTTTACTCCTTTCTAATCTTTGTATGTGATAATGCATATTTTAGGAGCAGAGAGAGAGTTTTTTGATAAAGTAAACAGTTAATTTTCATGTAGCATACAGAAAAATGAACAAATCATGGGTATAGCTTGAATCTTACAAAATGAGTGTGCCTGTATAACCACCACCTAGATAAATAAAATATTAACCCATCCCCCAAAATAATCATTCTCCTATTTTTGTCATCATGGAATAGTTTTTAATTTCATCTTCTAGGAAACCTGTAGTACTTACTTTATTTCCCTTGCTTCACTTGGCTTATTTGACAAGCGTCTACTACTTACTTTGTTCCGTTAAAGTCATCGTGTTTATAAAGATGAATAAGATAGTGTTTATGATTACCAAGGCAGAATGACCATTTGAAATATCCTAGTGCCAGTATTTTACTTTTTTTAAATTTCAATTTAAAAGGAGAAGGAAAGGGAGTTGGGTGGTTATAGGAGATAATATTTTAGACAGATTGAGCTTTTGTCCTTTTTTTCACGGTGGATTTTTCTTCAAAGGAGACTTAATATTTAATGAGATTCAGGAAGGTAACATAATTTTCTATTTTCTTTCATTCTATCCAGATCTGCTTGACATTTACCTGGAAGGATGCTTTTGATAAAGGTTCACTTTTTGGAGGCTCTGTAAAACTGGGTATGTAATTTTTAATAAAAGTGATAGGAAAATTGGTCTAACTACTTTGCATTGTTTTTAGTTTTTAAAATTGTTATCCTAATGACTCTTTATAAATACTAAAGTTTTTTACATCTCATTTTCTTTTTAACTTCAACTTTTAATGCAATTTTGAAATATTTGTAGAGAGCCCATGCCTTGCCAGGCACTGTCCTAGTTATAAAAATGAGTAAAATCGATGTACTCAGTTGTTGGGAAGATAGTTGATCATTTAAAAGTGTAATATGTAATATCAGCCTATGAACAAACTCACGGAAGTATATATGAGGAAGAAAGTAATTGGACCTTTTGAAAGCAGACAATGTTTGAGTTAGACCTTGAAGGATGGATTTGTAGAAAATAATATTACAGACACAAAATTATAACCATAGGTCAGAAGGGTGAGGACTTTTGATCTACCAGCTCCAGCAAGATAACATCTCTGTGCCTTAATTTTCTCATCTGTGAAATGGAGATAATACTATATATTTCTTTGGATTCTTTTTTTTTTTTTTTTTTTTGAGACAGTTTTGCTCTTGTTGCCCAGGCTGGAGTACAGTAGCACAATCTCGGCTAACTGCAACCTCTGCCTACTGGGTTCAAGTGATTCCCCTATTCTCCTGCCTCAGCCTCCTGAGTAGCTGGGATTACAAGCACCCGCCACCACACCTGGGTAATTTTTTTAGTAGAGACAGGGTTTCATCATGTTGGCCAGGCTGGTGTTGAACTCCCGACCTCAAGTGATCCACCCACCTCGGCCTCCCAAGGTGCTGGGATTATAGGCATGAGCCCCTGGCCGATCTCATTGGATTCTTATGTGGGTTAAATGAGTGAATACTTGTAAAGTCCTAAGAACAGTGCTCAGTAAGTATTAACTGCAATGAATAATTATATTATTACATAACATTGTAATGCATATATGATATATACGTATTATATGTATATATGTATATAATATGTATATATATTATATATGTATATACAATGTATATATGTATTTGTATATATGTATTATATGTATCTGTAATGTGTATTATATGTATATATGTATTATGTATATATGTATATATTATACACATACGTGTATATATACTTATACATACGTATACAGCATATATTTGTATACATATATGCATATATACATATGTGTATGTATAGTATATATGTATACTGTATATATTCATACACATGTTTATTATATATACATATATTTAATATATAATGTATAGATATTTATGTATAGATACACATATGTATTGTGTATAACTATGTATAATATGCCTTATATAGTATATTCCTTTTATAGCATACATATACATTATATAAGATATGCTATAATATATACTGTATACCTTATAAGATACAGATATATAATATGTATTATATAGTATGTACATACCATATATATACATATATCTATATCTTTTTTTTTTTGTTTGACGCTGAGTCTCACTTTGTTGCCCAGGCTGGAGTGCAGTGGCACGATCTCGGCTCACTGCAAGCTCCGCCTCTCGGGTTCGCGCCATTCTCCTGCCTCAGCCTCCCGAGTAGGTGGTACTACAGGCGCCCGCCACCACGCCCGGCTAATTTTTTGTATTTTTAGTAGAGACAGGGTTTCACCGTGTTAGCCAGGATGGTCTCAATCTCCTGACCTCGTGATCTGCCTGCCTCGGCCTCCCAAAGTGCTGGGATTATAGGCATGAGCCACCGTGCCTGGCTATATATCTATATCTTATTTAAGGTTTATACTTACATATAGGTGAGGAAATGGAAATATATATTTTATAGTAGATATTGTATATAATAATTTAATTATTGTTATGGTGTATATATAGGTGAGGAAATGGAAATTATATTTTATAGTAGATATATATAATGTTAATATAATGATAGTTATTGTTGTGGCTTGTAACCTTAGGTTGAATTGGGGATTATGGAGGGTGATGATATTAGAAAGCAGATTGTGAAGAGTTGCAAATATTATGCTTCTGACTTTTTACTTTCCCCTCTTGTATAATAATAGTGAATGTTTATTGGGCATTTATTTTACCCAGGCACTCTGGAAGGGACTTTATAAATAATCTTTCTGAATTCTCTAATAGCTTAATGAGGAAAGTGCTATTATTGCCAGTTGAACAAACTGGTTTAGAAAGATTACATGATTTTCTGAAGTCATATGGTTAGGATTTAATGAAGCTGGGATAGGAATCTAGATAGCCTAACTCCCGGGACTAGGGAGAAACAGACCGGTTAGGAGACTGATGAGAGATGATTAGGTTAGACAAGCTAGTGTGTGCGAGTCACAGAAGAGAGGGATTTCGGACTTTCAGAGGTGAAGTTGAGTGAATTTGCTGACTACCAGTCAGAAGGAAGAGTAGGAGTTGAGGCTTGACTCTGAGATTTATAAGTTGGTTTGACCTATTGGATATTTGTTCCTTTTAGTAGAAAGGTTGAGTCTGACTTTTCTGTATTATTCTGGGTAGACATTTCTCTGGCATTCTGAAATAAAGGATTTAAAGCTCAGAAGAGAGATACACATTCGAGAACAATTATTAGGTGATAATAAATTTATTCCTTCGGGCAGATAATTGACTGAGAAAAGTATAAAAGTCAGAGCTAAGTAATATAACATTCAGGGGAAATAGAAGAAGAGGTTCTGGGAATGAGGTTGAGAAAAAGCTTTCAGATCTTACAGGAACCAGGGTAAAATAGAGATGTGAAGGAATGCCAGAAGAGTTTCAAAGTTGATGTGGTCCAGTGGTTCCCAAACCTGGCTGCATATTAGTATTACCTGGGGAAAATGTAAGATAAAAGATGAAGATACGGAATGCCAGATGTGATAGGAGAAAATTTTGGAGTAGGGCACTGGAATTATTATGTTTGAAAATATCTCCAGGTGGCTGGGCGCGGTGGCTCACGCCTATAATCCCAACACTTTGGGAGGCGGAGGCAGGTGGATCGTAAGGTCAGGAGTTTGAGGTTAGCCTAACATGGTGAAATCCTGTCTCTACTAAAAATACAAAATCAGCCAGGTGTAGTGGCGCACACCTTGTGATCCCAGCTACTCAGGAGGCTGAGGCAGGAGACTCGCTTGAACCTAGGAGGCAGAGGTTGCAGTGAGCCGAGATGGTGCCATTGCACTCCAGCCTGGGCAACAGAGAGAGATTCCGTCTTAAAAAAAAAAAATAAAATATCTCCAAGTGATTCTGATGATCATCCCAGGTCCAGGTTGGAACATCCTTGACTGAGTCATTGTGGCAGAACTCAGTCATGTAAGGTTGGAGAAGTCCTTGGATTTGGCAGAGAGAAGTTTCGCTTGGAGTTTCCTGAAGAAGCATCAGATTGAGGGGTGAATGGGAGGTGAGGGAATGGAAACAGTAAATGTGGGTTGCTCATTTTAGGAAATTTACAGTAAAGATTTGGGGACAAAGGGAGCATCGTTCTGAGAGGGAGTCAAGGTGAAGAAAAGGATTTTTAGTGTTGTTATGACTTAAGAAATTTAGTAGGCTGTGAATAAGGAGCAGATGGCAGGAGACCTAGGAGACACTTGAGTGATGAACTCAAGTATCCAGAACTGGGAAGCAAAAAATTAGATCATAAAGCAGGAGGTGGTTCATCAAGGCATTTCTAGTAGCAAAAATTGGTAATTAAATGTCCTTCAGTAATGTCTTGGTTAAATAAAAGACTACTCATTCATTTAAATATTGTGTAGTTTTGGAATACTAAGAATAAAAATGCATATATATATTTGTTGATATGTAAAGCTATATCAATGGAATATTGAATAAAAGGCCTGTCTTAGTTCAGAGTTGTTGCATCGTACAACTCTAGGGTCCCCTGAGTTGGGCTCCTTGGGACGGTGCTCATATAGAACCTAGAGTGGTTCCTCCTCCCTTGAGTTGTGCATTCCAGGCAACTCGAGTGTGGTATAGTATCCACTTTGTGAAAAGTTATGTGTGTGAATGTGTATGTAGTTATTTGTGAGATACCAAAAAATAAATTCTGGTTAACTCTGGAAGATGAGATCTTGGGTGATTTTTAATTATTTTTTTGTAGTTTAAAATATTTGAATTTTAGAAAACTATATTTGTAATTTAGTTATTTTCATTTTGAAAAGTTTAGAGGCTGGAAGTGGTGGCTCATGCTTCTAATCCCAGTACTTGGGGAGGCCGAGACAGGCGGATTACTTGAGCCCAGGAGTTCAAGACCAACCTGGGAAACAGATGAAACTCTGTCTCTACAAAAAATACAAAAATTAGCCAGACATGGTGGCGCGTGCCTGTAGTCCTAGCTATTTGGGGAGTTGAGGTGAGAGGATCGCTTGAGCCTGGGAGGTTGAGGCTGCAGTAAGCCGTGATTATGTCACTGTTCTTCAACCTGGGTGACAGAGCAACACCTTGTCTCAAAAGAAAACAAAAGATAAAAGAAAAACTTAATGAAAAAGAGAGCAAGTAAGAAACAAGAATACAGTTAAATATTTAAAAAGTCGTCTTTGAAAAAAGGAAAATATTGTTTTGAAAACCTGGTTTAAGTTTAGATGGATAGAAGAAAATAAAGGAAAAAAGATAAGAGTTAATTGCAACATCAAAATAGCTCTTATATGTAAAATCTCATAAAAGCTCTTATAAATGAGAAATTGTCAAAATAAAATGAGAGACTACAGTCTGGTATGATAATATTTATGGGCAGCGTAATAGATTGAGATACGTATCTGATATATAAACAGTTTACTTTTATTTCTTGTTTGGAATATATTTCATTCTTTTTTTTTTTTTTTTTGAGAACAGTCTTGCTCTGTTGCCCCGGGGGAGTGCAGCCACGTGATCTCAGCTCGGTGCAACCTCCGCCTCTGGGTTCAAGTGAATCTCGTGTCTCAACCTCCTGAGTAGCTGGGATTATAGGCGCGCACCACCATGCCTGGCAGATTTTTGTGTTTTTAGTAGATACAGGGTTTCACCATGTTGGCCAGGCTGATCTCGAACTCCTGGCCTTAACAGCTCCACCTGCCTTGGCCTCCCAAAGTGCTGGGATTACAGGTGTGAGCCACTGCGCCCGGCTGATAATTAATTTTGTTCCTTGCTCTTGCCTGCCATACTGGCCTAATGTATATATTTACTGAATTAATTAAAATTATATTCAGAACTTGAAGGCATTGATCCCTTGCCTTTTTGTTGTTGTTGTTGTTTTTGAGATGGAGTCTCGCTCTGTCGCCCAGGCTGGAGTGCAGTGGCCGGATCTCAGCTCACTGCAAGCTCCGCCTCCCGGGTTCCCGCCATTCTCCTGCCTCAGCCTCCCGACTAGCTGGGACTACAGGCTCCCGCCACCTCGCCTGGCTAGTTTTTTGTGTTTTTTAGTAGAGACGGGGTTTTACCGTGTTAGCTCGGATGGTCTGGATCTCCTGACCTCACGATCCGCCCCTCTCGGCCTCCCAAAGTGCTGGGATTACAGGCTTGAGCCACCGCGCCCGGCCGCCTTTTTTTTTTTTTTTTTTTTTGATAGGAAGTCTCGCTCTGTCGCCAGGCTGGAGTACAGTGGCGCGATCTCGGCGCACTGCAACCTCCGCCTCCGAGGTTCAAGTGATTCTCCTGCGTCAACCTTCCCAGTAGCTGGGACTACGGGCGTGCACCACCACATCCAGCCAATTTTTGTACTTTTAGTAGAGACGGGGTTTCACCATGTTGGCCAGAATGGTCTTGATCTCTTGACTTGGTGATCTGCCCACCTCGGCCTCCCGAAGTGCTGGGATTACAGACATGAGCCACTGCACCCAGCCAATCTCTTGCCTTTTAGTATCTAGTGTTACTGATGAAAAGTCTGAGTTTTGTTGTTTTGTAAGTGATCTGTTTCTTTGCTCTTAGGAATATTTTTACAGTCTTCTCTTTGTCTTTCATGTTTAGAAATCTCAAAAGACTTAATGGGATTTCATTTTATTCATTTGTAGGGCATTTCTTTTTGGCCCTTTTAGTTTGAACATTTATATCTCCCTTCAGCTCTGGGAAGTTTTCTTATATTTCTTTGATAATTGTCTCTTTTGTCTCTCTTTCTTTGGAATACTTTTTTAGATGTTGGTTGTTCTGAGTTGTTCACTCATAATTTTTGTAATTTTTATTTTCTTGACTTTATGTTCTACTTCTGAGAGATTGCCTAGATACTAATTTTAAAACCTGAATTTTTTTTTTCCTTCTGCCATCCTTAAAACTTTTAAAAAAATTTAACAGTCAAGTTTTTAATTTTTAGGAACTTTTTCTTATTAATTAAGAAAATCCTGTTCTTTTATGGATGTACCATCTTTGAATCTCTTTAAGGAATGCTAATGTTTATATCTGCTGTAGTTTAGAATGAGGAGACTAGAATGGTTTGGAAGCAAGTTGAAAACTGGCCATTATTACATAGGAGGCCACCAAAGTACTGTAACAAGGAGGGCTTTACTTTATGGCACTACTCTGTGGTACAAACATACAAATGTAGTGTTCTGATTCTCCTAGATGGTTTGTTCAGTGTTTTTTGTAAGGAGCCTTATTTTGCCTGGTGGTCAATGCCTTGCACATTATGCAAGATCTTGAATTCCAAAGTGATTGAATTCTGTAAGTAATAGGGAGGTATTATAGATTCTTTTTTAAAAGTTATTTTTCAGTTGTGATACAATATACATAATACACCTTAACCCTTTTAAGTGTACACTTCAGTGTACATATTCAGTGTACATGTACATTTACATTATTGTGCAAACATCGTCTTGAGAACTCTTTTTCACCTTACAAAACTGAAACTCTGCCCAGTAAATGATAACTTCACAGACTGGGGGTGGTGGCTCATGCCTGTAATTCAAGCATTTTGGGAGGCCAAGTTGGGAGGATTACTTGAACCAAGGAGTTTAAGACCAGCGTAGGCAACATAGTGAGTCACTGTCTCTACAAAAAATACAGAAATTAGCTGGGTGTGGTGGCCTGTGCCTGTAGTCCTAGCTACTCAGGAAGCTGAGGCAGGAGGATCGATTGAGCCCAAGAGGTAGAGGCTGCAATGAGTGTGATTGCATTAGTGCACTCCAGCCTGGGTGACAGAGTGAGACCCTGTCTCAAAAGGAAAAAAAAATTATAATGTCCCATTCTTCCCTCCACCCTCAACACTTGGCAACTACCATTCTTTCTGTCTCTGAATTTAACTGTAGAATCATAGACTGCATTTAAAAAAAGTTTCACAACATGAAGTTTGTTATCTTAATCATTTTTAAGTGTACAGTTCACTAGTGTTGGGTGTTTTTCACATTGTTGTAAAATACATCCAGAACTTTTTCATCTTGCAAATCTGAAATAATGTACTCATTGAACAACAGTCCGTCTCCCCCTACCACCATCCCTGATAACCATCATTCTGATTTCTGTCTCTATGAATTTGATTACTCTAGGGAACTCATGTAAGTGGAATCATACAATATTTGTCTTTTTGTGGCTGACTTATTTCACTTAGCTTAATGTCCTCAAGATTCATCCCTGTTATAGCATATGATTTCCTTCTTGTTTAAGGCTCACTAATATTCCATTGTATGTATATACTACATTTTGTTTATACATTCATCAGTCCACAGACACTTGAGTTGCTTTCATGTTTGGCTATTGTGAATAATGCTGCTATGAACATGGGCATACATATATCTCTTTGAGACTCTGCTTTCATTATTTTTGGGGGTGTATACCCAAAAGTGGAATTGCTGGATAAAATAGCAATTCTATTTTTAATATTTTGAGGACCTGCCGTATTGTTTTCCACAGTAGTTGCACTTTTTCTATTTTTTATTTTGAGACAGGGTCTTGCTCTGTCGCTCAGGCTGGAGTATAGTGGCATGATCATAGCTCACTGCAGCCTTGAACTCCTGGGCTCAAATGGTCCTCTTGCCTCCGAGTAGCTAGGACTACAGACATGTACCACCATACCTGGCTGATTAAAAATATATTTTTTTTGTAGAGATGGGGTCTTGCTGTGTTGCTCAGGCTGACCTCAAACTCTTGACTTCAAGAGATCCTCCTGCCTCAGCCTACTAAAGTGCTGGGATTACAAGAGTAAGCCACCATACCCAACCGCCAGTTTGCATTCCCTCCAACAGTACATGAGGGTTCCAGTTTGTCTGTATCTTCATCAATGCTTATTTTCTGTTTGTTTTTTAATAGGGGCTATCCTAAGTGGATGTGAGGTGTGTAGATTTTTTATCAGAGTTGGGTTTTAGCCCATCTAATCTGCTAGCTCTTTGAGAAATGTATTTGCCTGAGGGAGTAAAGTATAAGGCCAGCTAGGAGTAATTGCATTGACTTAGATTTGTGGTAATGAGGAACTGGTTTGACTGTGGTGGGACAATGATTTTGAGAGTTGGTGGAAAAATGGAAATAATTATTCAAATTTAAGAAACTGAGAGAAATGACATGAAAATGACTTTTGTATTTGAATTTGATTGTAATAGAAATGTGGAAGTAAAGGGAAGGAGAGAAAGAATAACTTACTGTTCTTTAGCGTTTTGGGTGATGGGAATATTGTTGTGGAAATAAATGCCTGTAAGGGCAGCTTGAAATATGGGAGCATATGACAGCAAGAAAACAGGTCTGGAAACTTGTTTTTGTGAGAGTTAGCGGGATGACAGAGGTCATAGTATTTCTCTTTGAAACATTTGTTTTCTTTAGAAAAAATGATCTGATAAATTTTTCCCTCTTAATTTTTTACAGCTCTTGCAAGCTTAGGATATGAAAAGAGCTGTGTGTTGTTCAATTGTGCTGCCTTAGCTAGCCAAATTGCAGCAGAACAGAACCTGGATAATGATGAAGGATTGAAAATCGCTGCTAAGCATTACCAGGTATGCGGAAAAGTAGTTACTGCAATAATGATCAACACTAAATTGGATTAAGTGGAAAATAATTTGCATTTAGGTTTATAAATACTTCTTACCCAACAGATGTTTTCTTAAATGAATGCACTTTTAAAATGAATTGATTCTTACTGTTGAAGCCCTTAGATAAACTGTCTATAGACCAAGTCTGTTTTTCCTCATTGTTTTATACCCAGCACCTAGCACAGTGCCTGGCACATAATAGAGGCTCAATAATTGTTGGTTGAAGAAATTATGAAATGTCTGAGATTTCATCTCAGGCATTTAGGGTAAATCCATTTTAAATAAATTACCTAATTTAAAAAATTTGTGCATTATTTTCATATGTTTTCTTAGAGTGAGACACACTTGAAATTTCACTGTTGTTACAAAAATAAAGACAAGAAATTGGCAAGAAAATAAAATTTTAACTTTGAGACATGTGGAGAGGTCATATTTAAATGTAGTCAGACACGTAATGTTCATAAGTTACCTAACTATTTTACATACTAATCATTTACTAATATGGCATGTTATTTTGTAGCAGTTGTTTATTATTTATTCATCTTTTTTTTTGTTTTGGTTAAAAAAAAGATTAGTGTCAAGTAATATATATAATCATGTTGTCATTTTATATTACTTTCTAATTTACAAAGTGTTTTCATGTACATTATTTGACCCTCAGATAAACCTTGCAATGTATGTCATATAATGTCATTCCCATTTTACATATGAGGAGACTAAAGGTCAGAAGTCTTAATATAGCAGTCCATTTGGGTTTCAGTAGTTCTGATTCCAAATTTCATGTAATTCCAAATTTCATGTAATTCCAAATGTCCTTCCACTATTTCACCCCCAAACCTCCCATGAAATTTGCTTGTCTCAAAGATAGTCTGCTTTTTCCTGTTGTTTATGTTTAAGGGAGAGGTGAGTAATGCTATTCTGAGAAAGTAAAAGGAAGTGTACCTTAAGGAAACAACATGCTCCAAATTGTGGCTTGCCTTACAGTTTTGAATAAGCATAGATGACAAACATAATGCATATGCTATTTCTTTTTGAGGCTATACATGGCAAATATTTTAAAATGTGAAAACGAGCCGGGCGTGGTGGCTCACGCCTGTAGTCCCAGTTCTTTGGGAGGCTGAGGTGGGCAGATCAGGAGGTCAGGAGTTCCAGACCAGCCTGGCCAACATGGTGAAACCTGTCTCTATTAAAAATAGAAAAATTAGCTGGGTGTGGTGGCGGGTGCCTGTAATCTGAGCTACTCGGGAGGCTGAGGCAGGAGAATCGCTTAATCCCGGGAGGCGGAGGTTGCAGTGAGCTGAGATTGTGCCATTGCACTCTAGTCTGGGTGACAAGAGCAAGACTCTGTCTCAAAATAAATAAAATAGTGAAAACGAAGTAAAATTTTATTTAGCTTTTGGTTAACTGTAACTCAGTTAATTGGTATATGATATTTTAGAAAGGTCATTCAGAATTATGAAAGAAACATTCCATTCTGTGAGTGTTCACAGCAGGGCACCTGGTATCATGGAAAGATAACTGGTGATATTAGACCTAGGTCCTTATCTAGGCTGCTCGCCACCCAGAAGCTTTGTGCCATTGGGCAAGTTCTTTAACCTCTTTAGTACCTCCAGTTCCTCATCTGTAAATGAGAGACTCAGACACCTAGCTGTTCTAGACTTTGATTCACTAGTTTACTAAATAAGTTCAGTTGTTCATTCCTAGCAGATACTCTAGTCTTATAATACTTAATGACTGCAAACATGCTTTTCATTTTAATACATTTGACTTTGAGTTTTCTCTGTGTTGTCTGTTTATCTAACTCATGACACTTTTTTTTTTTCCATTGTTTGAGATGGAGTCTCGCTTTGTTGCCCAGGCAGGAGTACAATGGCATGATCTTGGCTCACTGCAATCTCCGTCACCTGGCTTCAAGCGATTATCCTGCCTCAGCCTCCTGAGCAGCTGGGATTACAAGTGTGTGCCATCATGCCCAGCTAATTTTTGTGTTTTTAGTAGAGATGGGGTTTCATCATTTTGGCCAGGCTGGTCTTGAACTCCTGACCTCAGGTGATCCGCCTGCCTCAGCCTTCCAAAGTGCTGGGATTACAGGCGTGAGCCACTGCGCCCGGCCAACTCATGACACATTTTAATCCCAGACTGACTGCTTTCTTTGTCTTAGTATAATTTGTTTCATAGAAGCAAAATTATTTCAGTATTAACAAAATATAATTGAGATGAAAAATCTGAGGGGGAACGTTTCACTAGGGAGCTCTGAAGGCCAGACAGAAATCACTAGCAATGGGTAGTAATGCTGTTCCTCAGAGGACTAGGTGTGTATGCTATTTGGGGTGTCCCCTAACTACGGCATGTTTAATGATTTGTAAGATGAATTTGTTTGGGACCGAAACAAGAGCATTGCAGTACTAAAAATATTTTAATGTTTATCCCTGCGTCTATTCTCATGTTAATTTTGAGGAAGTATATCTAAAAATAGCTTAATCAGATTGTTCCACTAGTTTACTTTGTTTTTCCTTGTAATTTACTTTTATTCTTTGTTAAATCTCTTCTTACGCTATAGTGTTTTAGAAAGATAACCTTATTGTCTGTAGGTCAGATGTTTTAGATTGGTTTTGTATAATACAAAAATTTAAATATATTAAGTGTTCACTGAGTTAACATTTGAAATGACTTTTATGTGTAACAGTAGGAATTAAGTCTTGCTGAGTTCCTGTAGGTTTTAAAGAAATTCTTTTTCCCCCCTTTAGTTTGCTAGTGGTGCCTTTTTACATATTAAAGAGACGGTTTTATCTGCCTTAAATCGAGAACCTACTGTGGACATATCTCCAGATACTGTTGGGACCCTCAGTCTTATTATGCTGGCACAGGCTCAAGAAGTATTTTTTTTAAAAGCCACAAGAGGTAACTCCAATTTGTCTTCCATTTCGTTGCATGTGAAAAGAAGCGATAAGGCTTTTAAATTAAGAAAGTGATTAGAATATAATATGTTCAGTGTTGAGCTTTCCTTCTTGAATTTGATACATGGATTATTGAAAATTTTTAGCTATCCTTTTCTGAATTTGTGGCACAAATGCACATTTAAGAATGTAGGCTGTGTTTGAAGTCATGAAATGGATTGTTAGTAATTGTCTTTAAACACTCCATTCTGGAATAGTATTTATGTACGTTTTTAACGTGTCAAACATTTGTTCGCAAATATTTATTGGGTACTTACTCTGTGCCAGTCACTGTTCTAGTTTCTAGATAAACAGTTAGAAAACAACCTTATGTTTTGGCGACGGGAGAGATGATAAGCAAGAATTAAGTTGCCAGGATAATTTCATAAATAATTGCTATAAAAAATAAGAAAGAATTATATGACAGTGGCTGGTGGTATGGTTATGGGATAGGGATGTAGGGGAGCTGTGCTAATTTTAGATTCGTTAGTCAAGAAGGCTTTCTTTCAGGAGGTCCTGTTTAAAGTAGACCTAAATGACAAGAAGGAACTATCCAGGCACAGTCCCTGGCCCTGGGAATGAGGGAATAAGAATAATTCTTATAAGGCATATAAGTTTAGATTGAAATATAGGCTGAATATGTAAGTACAGAGAAATTGAAAATACGAGATAAGTCATCATGTGGAAGAAATAGGAACTGGAATACTTTTTTCTTTTAAAATAACAACTTATATTGAGATAGAATTTATATACACTGAAGTTCACCCTTTTTAAGTGTACAACGTAAGATTTTTAGTATATTCGTAGAGTTTTGATTACCACTATCTTATTTTAGAACATTACTATCATCCCAAAAAGAAGCTGTGTACCCATTAGCAGTCACTCCTCTTTCCCTTTTCCCCCACTGCTGGCAACCACTAATCTATTTTGTCTGTTTTAAATTTTGTGCAGAAAATGTGATTTATCAAGAAAGACGTCTTAAGATGCGTGTACAAACTTGTGATCTAATTGTTTATACTGAGACATGTCAGATTAACTCATATTTATTTTAATTATAATGGTCAACTTCATATTGTATTCCAGATAAAATGAAAGATGCCATCATAGCTAAATTGGCTAATCAGGCTGCAGATTATTTTGGTGATGCTTTCAAACAGTGTCAATACAAAGATACTCTCCCCAAGGTCAGTTATTGTTTTTATAAACACTTGCTTGCTTTGCATGTGGAAATATTTAGACTTTTTTGTGTATAAGAAGCAAGTTGAAACTTATAAAGAAATTTGAAGTTTTAATATAGTTATCTGAAGTATATAGTATAAATAGGTTTTTTTTTTTTTAAAAAATTTAAGATGCATGAACAATTCTTTTATATTTACGGGATGCCTTTGTCTTTACCTTTTACTAAACTTGTTTTTCCAAGCTAGAACTCTTTCTGGAAAACATTGACCATCTGTTTTTAATACTTTTATCAAATCAAGGCATTGTGTAGTTCTGAATCATTGGTGACTTGGTACAAGCATATATACTTGAGCATGTTGATTATTCACACTTTTAATTATTGTCCTGTTTTCTTAAAGATGAGTCTTAAAGCGCAGAAACAGACATAAAGAAAAAAGGAAAAGAAAACTTAACAAATTCATCTGATACTTTGATTAGAATTAAGTTTTGCCAACAGGGATAAAAAAAAATTGGGCTGCTAATGGACAGCTAAGGAAAAGCAACCATCTTAAACCACATATCACAGGAAGTATAATGTTTTAATGTAAACCTTTCTGAAGTGACAATTGAAAAGACTATTTAGTGATGATCATTTACTGACAAAGCAAATCACTAACAGGTACATTTGGAATGATTAATAAAGAAAACTTAAAGTTTGAGTGAAATATATGTCTCAACTACTTCCTTCAGAAATGTTCAAGGAATTAGTTTCATCATATGGTATCTGTTACGTGATTTTTTTTTGGTAGGGGAATTTATGGATTTATAAGTCATGTTCAGGAATCTTTGTACCTTAAAAAATTGCAGACAACTTGGGGGCGAAGTAAAAATGCACATAAGTGCGTCAACAGTACTTATTACTCAGAAAATGATCAATAAGGAATTAATGTGACCATTCCTGGGGATTTAAGATACACCAAGAGCCTAGTAGAAATTTGCCCAGGACTCTTGGGTATTAATAGCCTTCCTCTTAAAAAGAGACTCGGGATCTCCTCTCATGTTTTTTTCATCTGAAAGACCTCATGTTCAGCTGCACAGTGTTCCGTTACTTCCTGTTGGGCCATTAGTTCAGTCCTGTCATGGAGAGAAGAATGTCACCTACAAAGACTTGGAAGCTACCTCTGCAGCATTCCTGGTATTCCTTGAAAATCTCCTGTTTCAGAATCAAGTTGCTCCAGCCTTACCCTGAGAATTGGCATGAGTGGAGTTTGAAATTTAGATGTCTTTTATTTTTTCCTTTTTACTAATAAAGCTCATAAGGTATTTTCATATTCTAGTTATAAAACTGAAATGTCTGCAAGTAGTGATCCAGGAAGGTAGGAAATTATTCCCTGGGAGACAGGAAAGCACACAAGGTAGTAATTCAGTTTTTGATTCTTTTACATTTTTTGTTTAGACAGTGATTGTCTATCCTAATTCTTTGGATTTTTTAATATCATATACTTCCTAAAAGCAGTGAGGTTACAGGTTAGGATTTGGCATTTTGGAAGAGCCACTGCTAGTATAATTGCTTTCCTGCTTTATGTCTTTGGATCTTTTAAAATTAATTTTGACTGGAATTATTTTCAAAACAAATAGGCAAAATAGCACTTTATCATTATCATTGGTCGTATACTTAGTGCATTTGTCTATATGTTTTTGAGTACATGATACTGAAATATTAGTGTATCTATGATACTGAATCATTTTTATATGGCTAAAATCATCTTTAGTAAGAATCCTCGTAGGATATGAATTTAAGTGAGAATTTACTGTTTTTTAAAACATGATGAACCATTCATCTATAGAGCAATTTCATTAGTATTTGTGAGTAATGATGGTTTAGTTAACTCTACAGGCTGGGTAAGGGCTCATAAGAAAGCTTCTAAAGCCCTGTGCTTGGTGTTCCTTTGTGAATGTCCATTCTACTTCTCTTTCTAATAATGCATGCTTTTCTTTCTTTTTGTAAACAAAATGTTGACTTCATGGATCAATTAAAGAGAATTGTAAAAACCTAAATTGGCTTCAGTTAACAGTTAAAAAAACCCCTTCAATTGGAAGAAAAAAAATTTAATTCATAGATTTCAATCCATACAAAATCATGTCGTCTTCTCTGTTTACACCTAATGACTAACCTTAATCTCTAACCCATTAATGGGGTGATTCTAATTTCTGTCTTCTTTTCCTTTTTCTTCCTGCATCCCATGTTGTCTGTGATGGTTTGTGTGGTTGGACTCTCCCCTGGTCAGTATTTTTATTTCCAGGAGGTGTTCCCTGTCTTGGCTGCAAAGCACTGTATCATGCAGGCCAATGCTGAGTACCATCAGTCTATCCTGGCAAAACAGCAGAAGAAATTTGGAGAAGAAATTGCAAGGTTACAGGTGAGTCTCTTGGTAATAAATATTTAAGTAACTAACTTGGATCTCTTTTTTTTTTTCCTAGTGAGATTTCCAAGTTTGCCCATAAAAACCTTTCCCATTAATCACCCCTATCAACAGCAACAGTGATTGTTTTTATCTTTAGACTTTATCTACTGTGTGTTTCTTTGAGGTCTCATATTTTATCTAAAAAATTCATGCAAAATTTGCATTCAGTTCTCTTTTTTAGTCCATATTTATTTTAATGTAAAAATAATTCTAAATTAATTGCCATCTCCAGATTGTTATCTTTAGACTTTACTGCATGTTTTTTTGAGGTCTTATATTTTTTTCTGAAAAATTCATGCAAAATTTGCATTCAGTTCTTTTTTTTATTCATGTTTATTTTAGCGTAAAAATAATTCTAAATTAATTGTCATGCTCCAGGAGTATGTGTAGTGTTTAACTTGTGGACTGGTCTTTGTCTAAACTGGGCCTATACTTCCATACTTGAGGACAGTGAAGAGATGTGTGTACATATATATACACACACCCACATACACATATACACACACACACATATATATTTATCTTGTGAATAGCCAAGTACTGTCTGTGCAGTTGTTTTCATACTGTTGGCATTGGGGTTGTCAGAAACTTGCTGTGAGATTATGGCACCTGAGGCAACTTGCCAGCAGGAGCAAGAGCTGTTTGTATGAGTTGTTTGTGTTTTGAGTGTTAGTAGGCAGAGGATAGAAATATGACTTAGGGCATTTGAGTTAGGAAAGTTTAAATATGTACTGATTATTAGAAGATACTGTGATTGTCTTGGTTCATTTTGTGCTGTTATAGCAGAATACCACAGACTGGGTAATTGATAAAGAACAGAAATTTGTCACAATTCTGAAGACTGGGAAGTCCAGTGTCAAAATGCTGGCACCTGGTGAGGGACTTTGTGCTGTGTCACCTGTGATGAAAGGTAGAAGGGCAAGAGAGTGCTAGTGAGTGAGAGAGAGCAAGAGGGGAGCCGAACTGCTTAACGAAGCCCCTCTCTTGATAACTAACCCTCTCCCTTGATAATGACATTAATCCATTCATGAGGGCAGAACCCTCTTGATCTAATCACCTCTTATTATGTCCCCATGTCCCAACACTTTGGGATTGGGAATGCATGAACTTGGGGGACACATTCAGACCATAACAATGGAAATGTTGTTTAGGAGGTTCAGATTAATTAATTAGCCTTTTCATGGGGAAACATCTCACAGTGACCAAATGAGAGAAATAATTTTTAAAAAAGTCAAACCCAGATTTGTCTGGGGCTTCACTTTGATTACAGTAACTTAGATTCATATATAAAAATGATTCTGAACAAGGAATTTGTGGAAAGAATTTCTTTTTAAGGCTAGCATATTTAAATTATAAGTTTAGTTTCTTTATTTTCTGGTTTCTGGGACTATTAGATTTAAGTAAGCCCATATTTAGTCTCTATAATCAGTCAGAGAAAGAACTCCTTTTGAAATTTAATCTCATTTTTAAGTACCCCTGAAAATGGAAATTATTTCAAATTCACACAATAGGAAAGAGGTAAAGACTTCCTTAGTTATAGACACATAGATTTAGCAGCTTTAGTTTTACAGCTTTATTTATAGGTTAAAAGTTAAGACAGAAGTTGGGTGTGATGGCACCTGCCTGTAGTCTAGCTACTTGGGAGGTTGAAGTGGGAGGATCATTTGAAGCTAGTAGTTTGAGGTCAGCCTGGACAATATGGTGACACCCCTTCTCAAAAAAAGTTAACACAGAACACACTCACTAGTCCATATTTCAAAGGACAGTTATTCTTAATTGATTTACACTCCCAAGAAGGCAAACAGAACAGACAAGAAGTTGACCAATAAACCATACTCTCTGTAGTTTCTCATTCAGGAGAGAATAATACCCCATGATTCTGATGGAGATCCTTAGGAGGTCACACTGTTAAACCAACTTTCTAGTTATGGCTACTAGCAAAGAGGAATAACTTACTGGTCCTATGCAAACCAGAAATGAAAATAAAATCACAATCAGGAAAATCAAAACAATAGATAAAATGGCAGCAATGGTAAAATTACTGCTTGGAATCACTTCTGGGGCCAAGAAAAATTGTACCTGAGCTTAATACAGCTCATGAGTTGCAGTTCTTGAACAGTGCAGTTTATGTGGCCCCAGAAGATGGATCTTCTTGGTCATCTTGGTGGATCTTCAAAGATGAAATACAATTTTCAAAAAGTTATAGAAATACACACATATACACACAGATACAAAAACATGACTCACATAGAATGACTACATGTCAAAGATTTATTTGACTCATTAATGAAGGACCTAGCAAGATTGTAAATCGATTTTGTGCAAGTATTTTCTTAGTTATGATACTAGGTTGTAGGTATTAAGGAGATTGTCCTTATAGAAAGAATACTTGCTGATGTGTTTAGGGATGAGGGCTCGTAACATCTAACTTCAGTTTCAGATAGTTCTGCAATACAAGAAAAAAAGGTACATGATTGTGTGTTTGTATGGGAAAGGAATAGATAAAGCAAATGTGGCAAAATGGTAATTGTTGAACCTACGTAATAATTTTGTGGGCTTGCAATTTTTCAAAATGGGGAAAATAGGTATATGTAAGATTATATAGTTTAATTCCTGTTCCTCTTTTTCCCTCCATCCATTATTCCCACTGCCCCATAGTTAATTTCCATTAATTTCTTTTTTCTTTTTCTTTCTTTGAAATAGAAGCAAATATATACATACACAACACACACATACATACACACACACACACATACATTGCACATTCTCACTTCTCATTCTTACTGAAGTGGTAGTATGCTATTAATATATACAGTGTTATATACCTTCTTTTCTCATATAACAATGTATCCTGAAGGTCTCTTCATCTTAATTCAGCAGTAGCTAGACCATCCTTAGAGCTGCATTATACTTCACTGTGTAAACCACAGTTTATTGCTGTCTCCTATTGCTGGATACTTGAATGTTTCCAAGATTTCACTATTATAAACAGTGCTACAGTAAAAAATCACGTACACAAGTTATTTTGTACTTCAGCAGGTGTCTTAGCTTAGGCTGCCATAAGAAAACCATAGACTGGGTGGTTTAAACAACAGAAATTTATTTTCTTATAGTTCTGGAGCCTGGAAATCCAAGGTCAGGGTGCCAGTATGGTCATATTCCGGTGAGATTTACAGATGGCCTTCTCTCTGTGTCCTCATATGGTGAACAGCAAGAGCAAGCCCTCTGGTGTCTCTTCTTATGAGGGCACCAATCCCCTGTGAGGCCCCACCTTCATGACCTCATCTAAACCCCATTATTTTCCAAAGGTCCCATGTTCAAATACCATCACATTAGGAGTTAGGGATTCAAAATAAGAAATTTGGGGAACACAGTCCCGTACATAGCGGCAGGTATATCTTAAATAAATTAATAGAAATGAGATGGCTGATAGCAAAATATAAATATGTCTGTAATTTGTTATATATTTGGATTGTTGATCCACTTGGAATTTATCCTGATGTGTGGTGCTAGATAGGGATCCAGTTTTTAAAGTCTTCTTCCAAATGACTACCCATTGTCCCCAAACCATTTATTGTAATAGCCTTGTTTTCCTCACTGTTATGAGATTCTGACTTTCTCACACATTAAATTCATGGTATGTACTGGGATCTATTTCTGCTTTTGTTGTTTCATTGACGTGTTTATCTGTTCATACTCCAGTTCCATATCATTTTAGTTATTTATACTAGACTGTTTTAATGTCTGATAGATATTATTATCTCTTATTTTTTGAATTTTTCTGCCTATCCTTGCTTGTTTTTTGAATTTTGTCATTTTCTGAATTTTCTTGACTATTCTTACGTATGTTTCTTCATATGAATTTTTTTTGTTTAACTATTATGGAAAACATCAAACATATATAAAAGTATGATCATTGAATTTCCATTACGCAACTTAAGTGATTATCATTATTTCACTATTTTGTGTTTTAGCTATTTCCCCTTTCCTTCTTATTTTTTTGGAGTATTTTACAACTATCTCACCTATCATGTCATTCTTAAGTTTTTTAGCCTGTATCTCTAAGAGATAAAGATTTTAAAAAATTAAAACACAAAAATTTGAACAATTAAAAAATTTTGTTAGATGGCTCATTATCCCAATCTAACAAAATTAATATTAATATGAATTAGTAGTCATAATCCAGTATTATCCACATCTAGTTTAGTTTTCCCTGATTTTTTTCTCAGGGGTCTTGGTTTGTTCAAATCAGGATCCACACAAAGTCCTCACTTTGCATTTGGTTGATATGCTCTCTGAATCTTTAATTTGTAACAGCCTTCTCCTTCCCAACTTCTGTGTTGAGTTTTCTTCACTTTTTCTTGTTCTGTATGTTTTTTTACTACGATTTCTGTGGTGTCTGTTTTCCCTTTTGCTCCTCGTATAAATGTCTCAGTCTTGCTTTCTTAAATTTGTATTTTTCTTTACTTTTGTGAGTTCTGCCACTTCCTGTTTTATATTCTTTTGCTATTTGGCTATCACTCACTCTCGTTTGGGCCATCCAGTCTTCTGTTCTTTTGGTACTGTCATTGTGTTCTTGAGTGTTTTAGTTTAGTTTAGTTTTTGGCATGCTGTTTTCATCTACTTTGCGGCAACATTTCTTTGGTGAGTTTCATTATCTGCTGGAAAGATATACTGCTTGTTTTCAGTTTTTTTCTTATGGTTTTTTTTGTGTTGAGAGATGAGTTGCCTTTTCAGTTACTTGTGTTTGAATGAGAGTTATTTTGCTGGAGGTTCCTGTGTGGGGAAATGGGCAGGGTTAGCTTTACAAGCATCATTATGTTAAGGGCTCCCTCCTAAGGTACACTTCTCTGGCTCTTAAAGCCTACCCTGGAATAGGAAGAATCCCACTACCTCCATACCTGTGCTTCCCTGAATTCCTCACAGCCTTTGCATTTAAAGTTGATGCAGCTACTTTTAGGGTTTATATTTTGCTGGCATTTTCTGAGTGCTTATGCCTTTTCTTCTCCCTCCCTACTTTTTTGTTCTCTGTTTCTGCTTCCCTTAGCAACCCTGTCTTTTTAGTTAATCTGTCTACTTCTTTTTCTCAGCAGCTCTCTTGGGATGAGACCACTCAGCATCACATTTTTTTCTGTGATCCCCTGGTGGCGTGATAGGGGCCAGTTGGCTTTGCCTTTATCATCACCTGGCAAGGTTTACTCATCCTGTTTTATTGTTTTCGGATTTGCTTAAAGTAGTTTTAACTGAGGGTGGCACCCTTAGCACTCCCTTGTTTTCCCCCTCTATGTATAGGGTACCTGTGGTTCTGGTACTAGTGTTTGCTATTTGGGGGAGGGTTCAACCACATTTACAAATCAAATTTGATTTACAAATTTAAAAAGTGATTTAAATTTGTGCAATTTCCCATTTCCTAGTTTACACCGAAGAGTAGCTTTTGTTTTGTTTTGGTTGTCTTTCTCTAAGCTTGATACCAGCTTTGGAGGTTAAGATTTTTATCATGTTAAGGAACTATATACCTATTTCTATGTTACTAAGATTTTTAAAAAATCAAGAATACTGAATTTTATCAAATTCTTTTTCAACATCTATGGAGAAATTTGATTTTGTAACATTATTTTGGAGAATTATATAAGTAGATTTTCTAGTATTAAACCATTTTTGTATTCTTGTGATTTTGGTGTTTTAGACTTGCCTTATCTCTTCATCTGGTCATTTTATAGATGTAGATGCTTTCTATATGCCTGATAATATAATATATTCTCTATTTGTGGAGTCTAGTGTTCTCTATGTCTGGTAAGCCAAACTTGTTAATTGTGTTGCTCAAATCTTCTATAATCTTACACTTTTTAAAAATCTGGTCCAGCCATTGCTGAGACAGATATGTTAAAATCTTCCACTTTGATTATGGGTAGATGTATCAATTTCTCATTATAATTGTTTATATAGAAACTATTACAGGCAAAATGTAAGAAATTTTATATCTTTCTGGCAAATTGGCAAATATTAAAAGATTATGTATTATATTTATCCCTAATAATGCTTTTGGCCTCATTGTCTATTTTATATGATGTCTTTATACCTAATACCACCTAAATTTGTATGTGGCTTATGTTCTTTTTTTTTTATAAGGCCAAACTTAAAAAAAAAATTTCTTATTGATATTGACATGTTGTTCACTTCCCGTGTTGTTGGGTAATTTTTTTCAGATCCACCCTTTCACTGAGTGTTACCCTTTGAGGTTCCTGCCTTCATGTGAAGGAGTGAAAGAGGTGCATCTCAATTCTCTGTGTTGTGTGGTTTCAAGACCCTTGTTTCAGGTCTCCATGAGGGCCTTTAATTAAAGTTTTAATTGCTAATTCTTTGGATATAGAAATAACCAACAGCCAGACGGGGCACGGTGGCTCATGCCTGTAATCCCAGCACTTTGGGAGGCTGAGGTGGGCAGATTACTTGAGATCAGGAGTTGGAGACTGGCCTGGTCAATATGATGAAACCCCATGTCTACCAAAACATACAAAAATTAGCTTGGCGTGGATGCACACACCTGTAATTCCAGCTTCTTGGAAGGCTGAGGTGGGAGAATTGCTTGAACTTGGGAGGTCACAGTGAGCCGAGATGGCGCCACGGTGCTCCAGCCTAGGCGTCACAGAGTGAGACTCTGTCTAAAAGAAAGAAAAAAAGAAAGAACCCAACAGCCAGCTTTCTTCAATGTCAGTTTATACTGATTGGCTCATGGATTTCTTTTATTATCTTGATAATTTGCCTATGTGTTTATTGGGATGGCTGTTATGTACCTGAAAACCTTCAGTTTTCAGGTATTTTGTGATGGGAGAATTTCCAGATAATCCTGTCAGCCACATTGCTGGAAATGCATGTCTTCAAATTAAATATATATTTTTGAAACCAATGCTTAAATACTTGGTGGGGAAAGAGAAAGAAAATCATCTCCATTTTTTTTTGTTGTTGTTGTTGACATTTTTCTTTTTAGCATGCAGCAGAACTGATTAAAACAGTGGCATCTCGCTATGATGAATATGTTAATGTGAAGGATTTTTCTGACAAAATCAATCGTGCCCTTACTGCAGCAAAGAAGGATAATGACTTCATTTATCATGACCGAGTTCCAGACCTTAAAGATCTAGATCCTATTGGCAAAGCCACACTTGTGAAATCCACCCCAGTCAATGTACCCATCAGTCAGAAATTTACTGGTATGTCAATTATTCAGACACACGTTAATCTTATTTTCCTCTAGTTTACTCTGTTTTTCCTAGCTAAAAATCACATATTTGCTATTGTATGCTTTGAATATAATTCACTTTCATGTTGTTTAAAATGAATATGAGAATAAATATTCTATTGTGTCAGTGCAATGTTAAGATGGAAAGTAAACAACAAAGCATATGTAAAGTATACAATGGTTAGAAGACTTGAAACTGTGTGTTTGATGAAGACTGTAGCACTTGTCATTTTGTTAACATTTGTTATTTAAGATACTGCCATTAAAAATAAACAAATATGGCCGGATGTGGTGGCTCACACCTGTAAACTAGCACTTTGGGAGGCTGAGATGGGTAGATTGCTTGAGCTCAGGAGTTAGAGACCAGCCTGTGCAACTGGTGAAACCCTGTCTCTACCAAAAAAAAAAAAAAAAAAATTGGCATGGTGGTGCATGCCTGTGGCTTTAGCTACTCTGGAGGCTGAGGTGGGAGGTTTGCTTGAGCGTGGGAGGTGGAGGTTGCAGTGAGCTGAGATCGTGCCACCATACTGCAGCCTAGATGACAGAGTGAGATCTCTTCTCAAAAAATAAATAAATAAAGTAAAATAAAAATGGAATATAAAAATAAACCACAAAAATACTTTTTTTTTTTCTTTTTTTTGAGACAGAGTCTCGCTTTTGTCGCCCAGGCTGGAGTGCAGTGGCACTATCTCCCTCACTGCAACCTCCGCCTCCCGGGTTCAGGCGATTCTCCTGCCTCAGCCTCCCAAGTAGCTGGGACTACAGGTGCCCGCCACCACGCCCAGCTAATTTTGTATTTTTAGTAGAGACGGAGTTTCTCCATGTTGGTCAGGCTGGCCTGGAACTCCTGACCTCAGGTGATCCACCTGCCTCGGCCTCCGAAAGTGCTGGGATTACAGGCATGAGCCACCGTGCCCAGCCTGTTTCTTTAAACATGTAAACTTCTGTAGTGATATTTGTATGAGATAAATAAATGTTATTATATTGTAGATGTATACAACAGATGGTAGCCTCTAGCTGAGATCCCAAGGAGAACATTCTGTTACTGGGAAAGGGTGATTATATATTTATTGAGCAAACACAAAGTGTTTACAATGTGCCAGGCACTCTTTAAGACTTTACAAATATTAGCTCATTAGTTTTCACAAGTGCCCTGAGAGGGGTACTGTTATTATCCCTATTTGAAGAGGATACTGATGCACAGAGTGGTTAAGTAATTTCCTCAAGGTCACATAGCTAGGAAGTGTTGGAGCCAGACATGGAATCCTGCTGCTGTGACCCACTCAGTCAATTTTTAAATTTTTTTTGAGACCGAGTGTTGCACTGTTGCCCAGGCTGTAGTGCAGTGGCACGATCTCAGCTCACTGCAGCCTCCGCCTCCTGGATTCAGACGATCCTCCTGCCTCAGCCTCCCCAGTAGCTGGGACTACAGGCGCCTACCATCACACTGGCTAAATTTTGTATTTTTAGTAGAGATGGGGGTTTCACCAAGTTGGCCAGACTGGTCTTGAACTCCTGACCTCAGGTGAGCTGCCTACCTTGGCCTCCCAAAGTGCTGGGAGGGATTACAGGCCTTAGCCACTGCTCCCGGCCCCTTGCTCAGTCAATTTAATCAACAAATGAACAGCGTCACCGAAGATGCCTCACACATCTGAAAAAGTTAAAGAAAATTAAGTTCAAAGAAGAAATTTTTCATTGTTGCCATTGTCCATGAATGTAGTGATCTAAAAATTCTCTTTATCATTGTATTTTAAATAGTGATTTAGTTTTGATCTTTAAATATCAGTAGACTATTGATATTTTGATCTTTAAATATCAAATATTTATAGACTATGTAAATATTGGAAAGAAAATATGAACAGTTGCTTTACAGTTCAGATTTTTGTCTTAAAATTTTGTTGTAATTTCTCTTCCTAATTTTAGATCTGTTTGAGAAGATGGTTCCTGTGTCAGTGCAGCAGTCTTTGGCTGCCTATAATCAGAGGAAAGCCGATTTGGTTAACAGATCAATTGCTCAGATGAGAGAAGCCACCACTTTGGCAAATGGGTAGGTAGAGCTTAATTTTAGAGCCTAAAGTTTTCCGTTTGGTTGTTCTTTAGTTCATGAACATTTTAGTTTCTGAGCTTAGAGCTAAGTGTCAAGAGTACATAAAATAGAAAATGTAGACACACACAACGATTTTTGGTGAACATTGTATTTATGAAGCTCTAGCAAATATAGTTGGAAGAAATTATAGAAACAAGGTGAGGATATTTGACTAAAAATTTGTATTTTAAGATGTATTTATTTGGGGGAAATGAGAAGAAGAAATGAACTCAGATACATGGTACGTTTAGTGTTCTGAACCAATTTTGATAACATTTTCGATAAATGTTCATAGAAGCTGAAATGTCCATTAACAGGTGAAAGAGTTTAACAAACTTCTCTATAACCATAAAATGGAATACTGCTCAGCAATAGAAAGACCCAAACTGATACACATAATATAGATGAATCTCAAAAACTGTAGCTAAGTGAAAAAAAGCAAAACACATTCTAAATATATACTGTACATAGTGCAAGTACTATATATGTATATGCTAGAATGATTACCCTTACTTTAAATTGTATAAAAAGTAAAACTAAACTTAAGACACGGAGCAGATCAGTAGTGGCCAGGGGCCAGGAGAAGGAGGACTGGGAAGGGTGCATGAGAGAATTTTTTTAGGGTAACAGTAATGTTCTCTATCTTAATCATAGTGCCGGTCACATGGGTTATGGAAGCTGACCCCCTTGCACAGTCAAATCTGCATATAACTTTTGAGTTAACTACTAATAGCCTGCCATTGACCGGAAGCCTTACTGATAACATAAACAGTCAGTTAACACATATTTTGTATATGTCTTATATAGTATATTCTTACAAGCTAGAGAAAAAATGCTATTAAGAAAATCATAAGGAAGAGAAAATATATTTATTGTGATTAAATGGAAGTGGATCATCGTAAAGGTCTTCGTCCTTGTCGATTTCATGTTGAGTAGGCTGAGGAAGAGGAGGAGGGAGGGTTGGTCTTGCTGTCTTAGAGATGGCAGAGGTGAAAGAGGTGAAAGACCACATATACATGGACTCACGTAGTTCAAATCTGTGTTGTTCAAGGGCCAACTATATTTCTCTCGTAGTTGGCTTGCCTTTTCATGTTTTTAGTTTTGATTAATGCATGGATTTTACCATCTTTTTTCTTTAACAAGAAAGGGATGTAAGTTTACTCTAGCATGTGATTAACAGACAGTCCGAGATTTTACAGAGCTTATTTTCTGAGGAGTTCATTGTATTACATAATTTCATTTGCCTTTTTGTCTTTACATAGTAGGTAGGGATATGTTCCTCCCTTCCCCATCATGTAAATGAAATAACTCAGGAATTGTTACTGTGCCACAAAACTGAGAACAGATGAAGATTCTGTAATGAATACTTAGGGCATCTATTTTCTGTTGACATTTTGCCTAGATGATGTGAAATTATAACTATTGATTCTGTTGAAAGAGAGCAGAAAAGAAAAAAATAACTAATTTGTGTATTGTTTCTGACTTGTTAGAGATACTGTAACAATCAAAAGTATAAAAGACTTTTTTTAGGATAGAATTTTTGACTTTTAATTACTTAGACTGAAAGAAGTTTGAACTGTAAACCAATGATACCTAATATATTTTAATGCGGTCATAGTTTTTATTTTTTGGCTTTTTTTTTTTTTTTTTTTTTTTTTGAGACGGTGTCTCACTCTGTTGCCCAGGCTGGAGTGCAGTGGTGAGATCTCAGCTCACTGCAACCTTCGCCTCCTGGCTTCAGGTGATTCTCGTGCCTCAGCCTCCGAAGTAGCTGGGATTATAGGTGCCCACCACTACGCCTGACTAATTTTTGTATTTTTATTAGAGACGGGATTTCACCATGTTGGCCAGGCTGGTCTCGAATTCCTGACCTCAGGTGATCTGCCTGCCTTGGCATCCGAAAGTGCTGGGATTACAGGTGTGAGCCACTGCACCAGCCTATTTTTTGGCTTTTAATTCTGAATTGTGAACTTAATTTTTTTAATGATTTTGGTTTAATTTCATCAATCACTGATTTTTTTTGTTGTTGTTTTTCTGTTAATCTTTGCTTTGTTTTTCATTGATAGGGCTTATCTAGTTTTTCTGGGTGCTAACTCCATTGCTGTTGATTTGGTTATAGAATATTAAATAAAGTAAATATTGATGAGGAGTTATTTTAAATTGTTTTAGACTTCAACATAACATAGTATCTCATTTTTTCAGGGTGCTAGCTTCCCTTAATCTTCCAGCAGCAATTGAAGATGTGTCTGGAGACACTGTACCTCAGTCTATATTGACTAAATCCAGATCTGTGATTGAACAGGGAGGCATCCAGACTGTTGATCAGTTGATTAAAGAGCTGCCTGAATTACTGCAACGAAATAGAGAAATCCTAGATGAGGTGTGTTTTATAAGATTTGCTTTTCAAGTATAAACACTGTGATCCCTTGATGTCCAGCAGGGATTGGGCCTGGAGACTTCCTCATGCTAGTGTTCACAGTGTAGTTAGTATTCATCACTTTGGTGAATTTACTGTGGCCCAGAGCCTTCTCTTTAGCATAAGAGAAATTCTGGTTGAGTGAGAATGGGTTTCATTCGTATCTTAAGGGTAAGTAAGTACACATTAATGAAACTCAAATGACCACTGTGTAAAACTAGTATACCAAGAGAAATTAACTATTATACAAACTGTTCAGTCTTTGTAATTACTGACTTATTTTATACATAGGCAGATCAACTTTCTTGGTAATCATGGAAATTAGACAAAGGAAGTTAGGCCATCAGATGTTTTATAAGGCAACTGCATCCATTTTCCAGTAGAGATGGCATTTTATTAGTAGGAGTGAAATATTATTTATAGTTTTTTTGGCTAAAGCTAACTGTTTGCCAGTGTTATTCTCTTTTTATAGTGCTTTCACCTCTTCTCCCTAATTGATAAAGTTTCTTTCCTTAGCAAAAATACATTTCACTGGTTATATGGGCTTTTGCCAGTTTAGGAGTCATGTTATCTATTTTAGATGACTTATCAATGCTTTAATCTATGATATTTTGAATTTCAGTTAACTTTCAGAGGATATTGTATTTATACCATTTCCAAGTACTTTGGGGTAGGGGCAGAGTACTTGAGAGAGTGTGAGTCTTGTGGATGAGAATATTTACCTCCCAGGGTTATTTAGATAATTAAGCTAGAACAGTAAGATGCCTAGCCTTTGGACTATAGGATATGCTTTAATAAGTTACAGCTATTATTACTATTATATTCCTTTAATGATGATGGTGTATTGCAGTTACTTTAACTGTTATGATGATGAGATAGTGATTGTTACTCACCTTTCAATCCAAATCAGCTTTTGAAAAAGGTTAAGGTGGAAATTTACTACGTTGTTTACTTGAGAAAGCTGCTATTTATGAGGGGTTCTATATTAATTATACAGTTAACATTCACCAACCTTATTTGTGTAGACACATTCAATAAACAGAAAAACTAAAGAAAACATAATTGGTATTACGTACTTCAGTACTAAAGCTTTTCTGTGTTGTACTTGATAGAAATGCAGAATCTCAGGCCCCATGTCAGACCGACTGTATCAGGATCTGAATTTTAACAAGATTCCCAAGTAATTTGTGTGTGCCTATTAAAATTTGACAAACACTGTTGTGCCTTATAGTTCTTTAAAATTTGTTGATTTGTGAGTAAAGAAACATGTGATCTGGTGTTTCACTGAAAGGACATTTTTCTAATGTCCTTTTTAAAATTATGTCTAATAATTTCTTTATTAGCCATAGGGAGAAGAAAGTGGAGAGTATTGTATAAGACCACATGCAAGTGGCAGCAGCAAGAAGTAATTGTCTGATAGTGAGGGAGGAGACAAACACTAAGAAATGCAGGCATAGCACATCAAATGAAAAGCAGTCTTGGGACATTTAGCAAATAGAAGTAAGAGTAAATCATCATTTAATAGTTGGTAGTTTACACATAATTCATTGGTTAAGGACTCAGAATGTAGAGTTGTATTTGGATTTGATTCCCAGCTCTTAAACCTACCTGTGACTTGGGGTACAGTACTTAATATCTTCATGTTTCAGTTGATCATCCAAAAAAATAGGGTTAATAGTAGTTAGCCAATAAGATAGTTGTGAAGTGGAATTTGTGTGTACTACTTAGTAGTTATAGAAATATTAACTGTATTTCCTTTTAAGTTGCTATTAATTGAATATGTATGTTTGGTTTTGTAAATTTTTTTTATAGGAACATTGTCTAATGTGTCAATTGTGAGAAGCATCTTTAGAAATATGAAAACATAAAAAAACCTCACATTAGTGTTTATGCACAAGTCTGTTGTCTAACTTAATGTGAGGTACTTTTATTTATCTTACTTGATGTTCCTAACAGCCTTGTGTGTGTTATTCTGTCACTTGTACTTGGAGAGTCTGATTTTTAAGTAAGTTGTCAATTTAAGTTGTAAAGCTGATACTCTTTTTGAGTGTTCATCTCTGGTAGCTTTTAGAAATTTTGTTTTGGTCTTGATTTTTATAAATTTGAAATGTTCACTAGTTTTTTTAAAAAATAATAATTTATCATACTTAGGATCTTTAAATCTTAGATCCCTATCCATGGATTCTGTTTGTTCATTCCTTTTTGTCCATTCTTTCCACAATCTCCTCATGAATTTCTTTAGATTGATAGTATCAGGTCTACATATCACTTAACATTATCTTTAACATTTCCTGTTTGTGTTCTTGTTCTTCTTTCAGGGAGACTGTCTTAGGCCAGCCTTCCAGCTCATTAATAGGCTATTCAGCTGTGTTTTTTAACATTCTTAAGCCATTCTATTGAGTGGTTTTGTTGTTAATTTCATTGATCTTTTTCATTTCTAAGATTTCTAATTCCTCGTTTTAAAAACTCATCTATATTTATCTTACAACTGCATGTAGGTTTTTTTTTGGTAAAATTCACATAACGTAAATTTTCCATTAATTTCCTCAAAGTGTATGTTTCAGTGGTTTTCAGTTTATTTGCAGTGTTGTGTGAGTATCATCCCCCTAGAAGAAATCCTGCACCCGTAAACAGTCTCTTCTCGTTCTCCCTTTCCCCTGCCCTTGCCAAACACTAATTTAGTTTTTGTCTCTGTGGATTTATTGAAATGTCTTCTGGACATTTCATATAAGTGGAATCATACAATATGCGGTCTTTTGAGTTTGGCTTTTTTAACTTAGCATAATGTTTTTACGGTTCATCCATGTTGTAGCATGTATCAGTCCTTCATTTCTTTTTGTGACTAAATAATATTCCGTTGTATTCTTAAACCGTATTTTGTTTATCCTTTCCTCAGCTGATGGATATGTGGGTTGTTTCCACTTTTTGACAATTCCACATATAGTAGTCCCCACCTTATCTGCCGGGGATGTGTCCCATGACCCCCAGTGGAGGCCTTAAACTTTGGATAGTAGTGAACCTTAGTATTTTTTGTTTTTTTAAATCTGATATTCAAGATGGCTTCTAAGTGACTAACTGGCAGATAGTATATACAGCGCAGATACACTTGATGAAGGGATGATTAATAACCCAGGCAGGAGGAGCAGGCGCAAGAGATTTCATTACACTGTTCAGAACTATGTACAATTTAAAACTTGTGAACTGTTTATTTCTGAGATTTTTCATTTAATATTTTCAGACCATGGTTGAACTCGGGTAGCTGAAACTGCAGAAAGCAAAACCATGGATAAGGGGGAGACTACTGTAATGCTGCTATATGTGTACAAGTTTTTGTTTCAATGTCTGTTTTTAATTTTCTTGGGCATATACCTGGAGCACAGTTGCTGAGTCATTTGGTGGGTTTAAGTTTAGCTTTTGAGGAACTATCAAACTCTTTACCACAGTAGTTGGACTATTTTACATTTCTACCAGCAGTGTGTGAGGGTTCCAGTTTGTCTATATCCTTACCAACCCTTATAATTGTCCATTAAAAAAAAGTACAGCCACCCTAATGTGTGTGAAGTGGTATTCAATACAATTCAATACAATAATTGTGGTGGTGGTTTGCATTTTCCTAATGATCAGTGATGCTGAGCTTCTTTTCATGTGCTTGGTTGCCATTTATGTGCCTTCTTTGGAGAAATGTCTGAGTCTTTGGCCCTTTTAAAAATTGGGTTGTCTTTTTGTTGTTGAATTATAAAAGCTCTTTATATATTTTGGATACTAGACCTTATTATATATATGATTAACAAATATTTTCCCCCATTCTGTGGGTTGTCTTTTCATTCTCTTGATAGTATTTTTTTTGATGGAGGAAAGTTCTTTTGATACAATAGTTTATCTGTCTCTTTGTTGCTTGTGCTTTTGGTGTTATATTTAGGATTTCATTGCCAAAAATTTATGAAGACTTATCTTTATTTGTTCTTTTATAGTTTTATAGTTTTTTTTTTTTTTTTTTTTTTTTTTTTTTTTTTTTTTTTTTTTTTTTTCTCTGTTTGTTTTTTAGTGGTGAGTTCTGGCTCACTGCAGCTGCCTCCTCCCATCAATTCTCCTGCCTGAGGCTCCCAAGTAGCTGAGATTACAGGCATGTGCCAACACACCCAGCTAAATTTGTATTTTTTAGTAGAGACAGGGTTTCACCATATTGGTCAGGCTGGTCTCGGAATTCCTGACCTAAGATGATCCGCCTGCCTCGGCCTCACAAAGTGCCGGGATTACAGGCGTGAGCCATTTTGTCCGGCTAAGTTTTACAGTCTTTTTGTTTGTTTGTTTGTTTTGAGACAGAGTCTCGCTCTGTCACCCAGGCTGGAGTACAGTGGCACGGTCTCGGCTCACTGCAAAATCCGCCTCCCGAGTTCACGCTATTCTCCTGCCTCAGCCTCCCAAGTAGCTGGGACTACAGGCGCCCGCCACCGCGACTGGCTAATTTTTTATATTTTTAGTAGAGATGGGGTTTCACGATGGTCTCGATTTCCTGACCTCGTGATACGCCCGCTTCAGCCTCCCAGAGTGCTGGGATTACAGGCGTGAGCCACTGCACCTGGCCGAGTTTTACAGTTTTAACTCTTAGGTTTAGGAGTTTAATTCCTTTTGAATTAAATCTTGTATGTGATGTGAGGTAAGGGCCCAACTTCTTTTTTTGTGTTTAGTTATTCATTTTTTTCCAGCACCATTTATTGAAGAGAATGGTCTTGGCACCTTCCTGGAAAATCGCTTGATTTATATGTCTATACTTAGGCCATTACCACATTGTTTTTACTAAGGTAGCTGTGTAGTAAGTTTTGAAACAGGTATAAGTCCTGCAACTTTTCTCTTTTTTTGCAAGATTGTTTTGTCTGTTTGCAGTCTGTTGCCATTCCATATGAATTTTAGGATCAGCTTGCTGATTTCTGCAAAAATAAACACTTAGAAGGTTGTTAAAGATTGCATTGAATCTTTAGATCAATTTGGGGAGAATTGCCAGTCTTAACAATATCAAGTTTTCCAATTCATGAACCCAGGAAGTCTTTCCAGTTTTTTAGGTCTTTTTTCTCAACATTGTTTTGTAATTTTCAGTGTAAATGTCTTCTCCCTCTCTGGTTAAACTTATTCGTAAGTATTTTATTCTTTTTTGATGTTATTGTAAATGGAATTGTCTAATTTCCTTTTTGGATTGTTCATTGGTAGAGTATAGAAATGCAGCTGGTTTAATCTGCAACTTTGCTGAATTTATTATTTCTAATAGTTTTTTGTGTGGATTATTTAGGATTTTCTATATATAAGGTCATATCATCTGCAAGTAGAGGTAGTGTTACAACTTCCTTTTCAATTTGGATGCCTTTTTGTTGTTGTCGTAGTCTAATTGCCCTGGCCAGTGCGGTGTTGGACTGGTGAGTTGGACTGTGACAGTGTTGGAATGGTGAGAGTGGACATTCTTGTCTTGTTCTTAATCTTAGGCGGGAAGCTTCCAGTGTTTCACTATTAAGTATGTTAGTTGTGGGATTTTCATAGATGGCCTTTATGAGGTTAAGGACGTTCCCTTCTAGTTTGTTGAGGTTTTTTGGTTATGAGTGTTGGATTTTGTCAAATATTTTTTCTGCATCTCTTAAGATGATCATATGGTTTTTCCTTCATTCTACTGATGTGGAATATTCTATTAATTGATTTTCAGGTATGAATCACTTTTGCATTCCTGGGACATCCTACTTGTCATGGTATATAATCCTTATAATGTGCTGCTGGATTTGGATTGATAGTATTGTGTTGAAGATACTGTGTTTATATTCATAAGAGATACTGGTTTGTAGTTTTCTTGTAGTGTCTTTGCCCTTCAACTCGTATGCCCTTATGGTGTGTCATTTGTAAATAGCATGTAGCAAGATTTTTCTTTTTAATTTAATTTGTCTTAACCTGGAAGGTTAAACCCTTTAATTTATCCCTAATTTCTTAAAATATATTAAATATATTTATTTTATATTATTTATCTTGTAATTCCAATATCTGTAGTTTTTGTGGGTTTGATTCTATGATTTGTAGTTTTTGCTGATTCTTGCTTATGGTGACTTGTTTTCTCTTGTGTTCAGTTTTTTTGTTACTGTTTTTTACTTTAAAACTTTAAAAAATAGTTTCAGATTTACAGAGACTTTGCAAATTTAGTGTAGAAGGTTCCTGTGTATTTTTCACCTAGCTTCTCTGAAAGTTAAAATCTTATGCTGTCACGGCACATTTGTTAAAACTAGGAGAGTTTTAACAAATTTAGTGCTCAGTGAGTTTTGATTGTGCATTCATATTTCCTGTAATTTATTTGTGGGAATTCATTGAGATCTAGGTTTAAGGTGAATTCTAGAAAGGATTTGTGTTCGCTTCTGCCATAAAAAGGCATTATATACCTGGCACCTCCTTAAACTTAAGAGGTTTTTTCCTTTCTTTTATAATCTTTTAATTATAGTAGTAATTTACCTTAGGACTTTGTGTCACACAGATAGTGTGGTTTCTAGTCCCAAGTTCAGGCTTTTGATCTGGAATCTCAGATAATACTTCTTCAGATAGGCATGTTTTCTTCTGTAAGGCAGTTTTCTGTTTTAAAGATTCATCCACTGAGAATCACCTATTTGGAAGTATACTGGTTTGAAGGTGGAGAGTGCTTTTGATCTGACCTGCCACCTTTTATTGTCCCTACCTGTGTTTCTTGTTGACTTTCCATGTTCTAAATTCACAATCCAAGCCAATGGTGAACTACACAGCTGGTGAACTATGGATGGTGGGCCAAATGCTGGCTTGTTGCCTGCTTTTGTAGTTAAGGATAATTTTTATCTTTTTTAGAGCATTGTCAAAAAGAAGAATTCTGTGTGACATAGACTGTGGCCCACAAAGCCTAAAATATTTACTCTGTGGTGTTTGACAGAAGTTTGCTATTCTTTGTCCTGAGCTATCAGGAATTGTCATATATTGCTGGTGCTAGCACAGTGTCTACTGGTAGATTAGTATTTTCTTGTGTTTCTGGCCCCCTACTATCCTGTCATCTTATCTATGCATTAAAAAGGCATTTAAAAATATGTAAACATAATTTTCTGTTTATTGTATTGGAATGGAAGTCTAAATCTTTTATTTTCATGTAATTGATCAGTTTTCCCCTTTGTTTTATTTATGGCTTCTATTTATTTTAATCTTAAAACTTTCTTTAAATTGGTGTATGGATGTAAATAGTCTCTTATTTATTTTTCCTTTTTTTTTTTTTAACTGAGAAAGGTAATAGCTAATTCAGCCTTAAATTTATAAGACTTTTTGCTGAATGCATTATAACTTAGATGTCTGCAAGAAAAAAGTCGATTTATATTCTAACCTAGTATTCCCGTCTCACCAAATTCTCACTTATATTGTGTATGAACATTTGTTTAATGCTTTACATTTTTTATACCAGAAATGACATTTCAGGGTTCTTTTTGCTTCTGTTTAAAGTCATTAAGGTTGTTGGATGAAGAAGAAGCAACTGATAATGATTTAAGAGCAAAATTTAAGGAACGCTGGCAAAGGACACCATCCAATGAACTGTATAAGCCTTTAAGAGCAGGTAAAAATGGGTATAAATGACTTTCATTTAAATAAATTCCCAATTTGGACCCACATTTTTGCTTGATTAAATTAGGCTCAGTTGTAAATTCATTTTTACTGAAATTGTTTTTCCTCAGTTTTAGTATAAAGATTTTAAAAGTTCACAAAAGTAATCTGCCCATTTTCAGAAGTACAGATTCTTAAGAAGGGTATAAAGTGAAAATTAAAATGATCCTCCAATTTTCATTTTCTATTCCAAGCTCTGTGCATATTTTATTTTATTTATTTATTTTTTTGAGACAAGGTCTCACTCTGTCACTCAGGCTGGAGTGACATAGGTCACTCCAGGCTGCAGGATCATAGGTCATTGCAGCCCCAACCTCCAGGGCTCAAGCAATGCTTCTACCTCAGCCTCCTGAGTAGCTGACACTATAGACACATGCTACCACGCCTGGCTAATTTTTGTTTTGTATTTTTTGCAGAGATGAGGTTTTACCATGTTGCCCTGGCTTGTCTTGAGCTCCTGGGCTGAAGTGATCCACCTGCCTCCACCTCCCAAACTGATGAGATTATAGGCTTGAATCACCATGCCTGGCCCCTGCGCATATTTAAAAAACATAAATGAGGGCATATTGCATTTATGGTTTTGTAATTTTTTTTCATTTAGTAGTGAATCCTGGGTGGTAAAAAAAAAAAAAAAAGAGCTTTAAGTTATTTTGAGGCCAAATTTATGCTGCTTAAGACTTGGATTATTAAAATTTTGTGCTAGCTGAGATAAATGCTGTCTTCATGGTGGCTGCAAATTAGTTTTACTTATCTTTGTAAAAAGTTTGTATATTATTGAGATATTTCTAAAAATAAATCTTCTTTTTTTTTTTTTTTTTTTTTTTTAAGTCACATTGCTCTTTTGAGAGAGGAGTACTTTTAAAATAAATGGACCAATTTTTGGAGAGAATGATTTCTTCCTACATTCATGAGTTGTAGGAAAAGATTAATATTAATTAGCTTTTATTTGGCAGATAGTAACTACTAAGTATATTTTAAGGTATAGCTATGCTTTTGGTTTTATAAGTGATTTTGTCGTCTTTCCAAAAACGAGAATGCAAAGACTATTAGGAGCTGTTTTTATTATTAAGTGAATAGGGGTCTATAGACGGGGAAGATAAGTAAAGTTGGAGACTAGAACTCAACATATGACCAGCCTATAAACGTTGCTGTTAGAATCACTTCTATGCTTTCGAAACTTTTATTTTCTCCCAGAGGGAACCAACTTCAGAACAGTTTTAGATAAAGCTGTGCAAGCAGATGGACAAGTGAAAGAATGTTACCAGTCTCATCGTGACACCATCGTGCTTTTGTGTAAGCCAGAGCCTGAGCTGAATGCTGCCATCCCTTCTGCTAATCCAGCAAAGACCATGCAGGGCAGTGAGGTAAGAAGGGCATTTTGATGTGGGTTGTCATCTGCTTAAGAAAACCACATTCAAGCCATTTTATATAAAGAACTGCTAATTTTCTTATTGTCATCTTTAAAAAAATGCAGAAATAAATTGGGGTTGTTATATTTAAAGTAGTATATAGACTGTGTAATAGATAATAATACTAATATTAACTATCCTATAATAGTAACTTCCATTTATTGAATGCCCTTTTTTGAACTAAATTTTAGATACTTCACAGGTCAACATTATTTAATTCGGGTTTTATAAAAGAGAGAAACTTGGAAGTATAGAAATTTCCTGAAATGAAAGGACTGGGTATGGCCGGATGCACAAATTCTTTATTTCTTACATTATTCTGTACTCCCTTCCACCTTGTTTCACTGCGACTACCTTTGAAATGAAGATTGACAAGGTGTGCATGTTAATAAATGGATAGCACCATCATGGTGTTTCTACTGATGGCAGGAAAGAGAAAATCGAATAGTAGGGCATCTGATTTGGAAAGTCCTAAAAGAAGAGAAAGTGCAAGTATAATTTAATGGCCTATCACTGGAGGTAGGGTAAGTTAGTAGAATAAGATAGAGGTCCCAAATCTCTGCACAGGAAAACAAGCCAAAGGGCAAGAAATACTGCTGAAAACTTCTTGAAAAAAGTGAATTTCCTGGGATAGTAAGTTCTGAAAAGTATTAGTTTCATTCTTTATTTGTCTTTCCATAGAAGCATTTTATATATTTCATATATTTATTCCAAGACCTACTGGATATCTGCTCTGTGTAAGGCACTATGGTGGGTACATTGGAAAATTAACATATGAATTATACACAGGCTTTACCCTCAATTTATGGTCCATTGTGGAATATTAGTCATGTACAAGGATGACTGTAATATAGGGAAGAAGTTTAAAAATGTCACAGGGAAAGTATAGGAAGTATGTTATGGGGATTTAGATGAAGTACTTAAATTTCAGTAATTTGAAGCAGTTCTCTTCAGAGGCTTCTTAAGAGATTGGCGCATTACGAGAACAGAGTGGATAGGCAGAAAAAGTAAACGTGTAGGATCAGAGAAGGGCTGAGTGAGTAGTGGCTGTGTCTAGAGAGTTATCAGAGGTACAGAGGATCTGCACACACAGCTTTTACTCCTCATTTCTCATGACAGAAGGTTTATAGACATGTTGAGAATGGCTGGAATCTATCTATTTATTCACCAAGTGTTTGAAGGCCTACTATTCCAGAACAGTGCTGAGCACCTTAGTCCCTAACATGAAGAGACAAAAAACTCCTCTGGCTTACCTTTAGTGTAGGGTAAATGCACAGGTACTGGGCACCTCTCAGAGGGAAGAGAAAGCTACATAGTTGAATGTGCATTGAACCTGAATCTAACAGGGGAACCCAATGGAACAAGGAATATGAGTTAGTTGCTTTGAGGACGTAGGGGAGAAAAGGGAGGTGGTCAGAAGGTTAACTTGTGAAGAACAAAGAACCCGAAGAAGAAACTGCAGACCCTTGGAATAGCAATAAATTCTGGTACCTTTTTTATTTTAGAAAAACATCTCTGTTTAGTACTCTCTTTGTATTCTTTTTGGTGTCTTGTACATGACTCAATTATGTGGCTTTCATCCCTTGATTCTTCTGCTTTCAGTAGAAAAGCAAAAATGGTTTGTGCTAAGCAAAATTTGCATTAGTATGCACTGATTTGTTAATATTTTATTCAGTTGTATCAGTTTTATTAATCCTTAGTTGTGTTACACAGGAGAAAGGAACTTTTGTAGTTAATATGAAGTAATTTTATGGAAGCTAGATTTTCTTGACAGGGAACCACAAAAATTACAGTACTCTCTGTATATTCATTTGTCATATGCCTTTATCAAATAAGGCAAGCATCAGGTTTATCAAAGCTATTTCAGATGGTTGTCATAATAGTTGATGACACATTTTAGCCAGAATTTTTATGATAAAAACTGAGTTTTTTGATTGCTGATTAGAGTGATGCAATGTACACGTTTTATTAAAAAGTCCAAGCTTGATGGTAGGGCTGTTTTTTTCTTTTATTGTGAAGAAGCCTACTGTCTAGTTACTTATTTTCAGTCTCTTCAGGCATCTGGTTTTACATATTGAGATACTCTAAAAAATTTTGCAGACTAGTGGTAATCTGTATTTAAAAATTTTTGTATTAAATACCTAGGATCACTGCTTGTGATTGGTTGCCTATGATCTACTGCGGCCTGAAGTCTTGTCTGTGGTTGGCTGGCCAAGCCTTGGCCCTAATGTATATGGGGCTGAATCTAGCCAGAGGAAGGAACATCTTTTTTTGCACAAGGATGATGTTCAGTTACACTCAAAGTGTTACATCTGCTGGGAGTAATGGGGGGTGCGATCTTTAAAAAAAAACCCTTTACCTCCTTAGAGGTACAGCATAAAGAGAACTGTTTAAAACTGTGTGCCCTCCCAGAGGAGTGCCTTCTTTGGATTCACAGACTAGTGGAGGATCTGCAAACACAGCTTTTACTCCTGATTTCTCATGACAGAAAGTTTATAGACATACTGAGAATGGCTGGAATCTGTTTATTTATTTACTCACCAAGTGTTTTTTGAAGGCCTACTATTCCAGAACTGTGCTGAGCACCTTGGTCCCTAACATAAAGAGACAAAAAAACTCCTCTAGGTTACCTTTAGTGTAGAGTAAATGTATCAAGTTTCTGCTTTCGTTGCTGTAGAGATAGTTGCTTATTTGCCTTTTCTGAAAATAAAATGACAAGGTTATAAAAGTAAAATAGAAGATTTCTTTGAGGGCATTTCTCTTTTCTTTTTTCTCTTTTCTTTTCTTTTCTTTTCTTTTCTTTTCTTTTCTTTTCTTTTCTTTTCTTTTCTTTCTTTCCTTTCCTTTCTTTCTTTTCTTTTCTTTTTTTTTGCGATGGAGTCTTACTCTGTCACCCAGGCTGGAGTGGAGTGGCGCAATCTTGGCTCACTGCAACCTCTGCCTCCTGGGTTCAAGCAATTCTCCTGCCTAACCTCCCGAGTAGCTCTTTTTCTTTTTTCTTTTCTTTTCTTTTCTGAGATGGAGTCTTACTCTGTCACCCAGGCTGGAGTGCAGTGGTGCAATTTTGGCTCACTGCAACCTCTGCCTTCTGGGTTCAAACAGTTCTGCCCAGCCTCCCGAGTAGTTGGGACTACAGGTGTGCACCACCATGCCCAGCTAATTTTTGTATTTTTAGTAGAGACGGGGTTTCACCATGTTGGCCAGGATGGTCTCGATCTTTTGACTTCATGATCCACCCGCCTTGGCCTCCCAAAGTGCTGGGATTACAGGCATGAACCACTGCTCCCAGCCCATTGAGGGCATTTCTTATGTCTCATATTGTACTTGGTGCTGTTAAATGCTACAGAGGGTTTTAAATCTAAAACTGGGGTCAGGAAACTGGCTTGTGGGCCAAATCCAGCCTGCCTCTTCTCTTTGTATGGCCTATGAGCTAAGAATGAGTTTTACATTTTTTAAATGTAAAACTCATTTAAAAAAATGTAAAACTTTCTACTTCATTTTTTAAATGGCTGGAAAAAAATCAAAAGAATGTTTTAATATATGGGCTTTATATAAAATTCAGATTTCAGTGTTTGTTAATACATTTTTGTTGAAACATAGCTGCGCTCATTCATTTACACATTGTCTTTCACTCTGCAAAGCAGAGTTAAAGAGCTGCAACAGAGAGTGTGGCCTACTGAGGCAAAAATATTTTCTGTTTGGTCCTTTACCAAAAAAGTTTCTAAGTTTCTGATCTAAAAGACAATGTATTGACAACCTAGGTGATGCCTTTCCTGCCATTCTGTTTGACCTCATCTGCTGTTCTGCCTTTTGTTTACTATGCTTTAGCCAGAGTGGCCTTTTTTTCTTTCCTTTGATCGTGCCAAGCTTGTGCCTGCCACAGGACTTTTACATTTGCGTTTCCTTCTGTGCAGGGCTTTCTTCCCATTTCCGTGGCTATTACCGCTTTTTCATTAGTCTCAGATGTCACCTCTTCTCCATCTTTGTCATTGTCTACCCACATTATTCTATTTTTGTGTATTTGTTTAATCCTCCCCTTTGCATATTTATTTAATCCTCTCTGGTGCCCAAATGAAGGAAAAGACTTTTTGTTAGTAGTTGTGTCCATAGCATCTAGAACGGTACCCAAAACAAAAAGTATTTGTTTGAATGATCATCACTGGCAGCCTAACTTAATAAAGGGATACATTTAATTGCAGTTGAAAGATAGCTGGAGCTGTATGTAAGAAAGGATTCTAATTATTTATATACTTTGATAACATGTTAAACCTCAAATTTGAATTTATAAGAAAATGTAGGCAGTGGTTTTCTTATTATCTTGGTCATTTGTGGAAGCAGTTTAATTCATTTTCTACTTCATTTACTCTGTTAAAATGAGGCCAGTGTCATATAGTCTGAATTATGTTAAACTAGTATACTGCATATGAAATTTTTTAAAAAGATGTTCATAATACAAGGGATCTCTATCTTTGTGTGGTAGTCCACAAGTTTGTTCATAAATTGGTTGTTTGAAATGGCATTTTTTTTTCCAGAAAGTTAGAATTATTGCATTTTTGAATATCACAGGATTTATTAACTATTTGGCCCTCTGTAGCATCTGGTTAGAAAGCTTCTGTATCCGTCTGGTTAGATACCATGGAAGTTGCGGTTAGCTTTTCTTCCTAATCTAGGTAATGTGATTGAATACTTACCCTTTGTTAGAAGTTATGTTGAGCACTTTATATAGATTATCTCAGTCTTCACAACAATGCTGACATAGGTACTATTATGCTCATTTTGCAGTTGAGAAACTTGGATTTTCTAAGTAGTAACCTGTCCTTGATTGCACAGTAACTAAGTCCTTTATGGTCTCTAGGGGAGTATAGTCAGAGTTGAAGTGTTTTTTTTTTTTTCCCTATGTAATTACTTTTTTTCTATGTAATTATGTTTCACTTTGATAGACCATTAGTTCATTTGTTTCCTTATTCAGGTTTTGACTTAATCTTGTTTTTTGAGTGTGTAAATGTTCATGATTCAAAAGTTACATGCAGAAAGCCTCATTCCTTTTCCTTCTACTTCTTTCCTGTATATTTCCTGTAAGTAACCATATTTGTTAGTTTCTGGTTTGTCGTTACTGATTTTCTTTTTGCAAGAACAACAACAAATAAAACCCCCCCAAAATTATGAATACATACATATACATATATAGATATTATATATGTGTATATTTATTTTCTGATTTTCCTTCTCTCTCACTCAAATTGCAGTATACTAGATATGCCTTTGTACCCTTTTTTTTTTTCATTTAATAATATATCCTGGAAGTCACGTGGAAGAAAATTTTTACTCACATCATCTAATATCAAGTTCTACTAGGTCTTTAAACAGACTTTGCCATATCCACCCAGGTATGATTTTTTCTCTTCCTCCTTCCTTTTAGTTTCTGTGGTTTGATGTTTTCTAGGAATCATGTTTCTCTTTCCACAGCCTTCTCCCCTGTACCCTCTTCTTTCTCTCACTCCCTTTCTCCTTCCCTTCCCCGTTCCTTCCTCTCTTCTCCCCCTCCCCCTTCTCTTCCTTTCCCTTCCCCTTCTTTTCCTTTCACTTCCTTCCGTTTTAAAATTAGGATATTTAGGAGATACGGGTGTAAATGAGGCCAAAAAGGAAATTCACCTACATTTAGAAGAAACCTCGAGTCTCTGGTCTTCACAAAGGGATGTCACATTGAACATTCCTATTAAGGAGCTAACTAAGACTGTGGAAGGAAGAGTAGGATAGGAATTTTTAGAAACAGTCAGTTGGTAGGGGGATCCATGGGAATTGGAATTGCTGCTGGTAATGAGAAAGACGGGTGGAGACAGGGCTCATGGTGCCCTCTTCTTCCTTTGTCTTTCCTCCAGTTTTCTTTCTATGAGCATCATTGGGGCAAGCAGAATAGGGAGATTGGGTTGATGCTTTTCGTGGTGGTCCTAGCAAAGTATGAAGAGATGAGTGAAAGGGGCAACTTGAAAGTGCTCATTAGAAGGTGCTTGAACACTATTAATATGAAGGGGTGTTTATGAATCATGTGGGTATAGGTCAGAGAGTGTCTTGACTGAATACAAGAGATAAATCTCTATTTTGTTTTTGTGTTTTGTTTTGAGACAGGGTTTCTCTCTGTCACCCAGGCTGGAGTGTAGTGGCATGATCATGGCTCACTGCAGCCTTGATCCCTTGGGCTGAAGCAATCCTCCTGTCTCAGCCTCTGAAGTAGCTGTGACTGCAGGGCACACCATTGCGCCCAGCTAGTTTTTTTTTTTTTTTTAAATGTAGAAATGGGGTCTCACTTTGTTGCCTAGGCTGATCTCGAACTCCTAGGCTCAGGTGATCCTCCTGAAGTGCTGGGACTGCAGGCTCGAACCTCTACATCTGGCCTAAAACTCTTAATGATATTTGAAGAGAGGCACAAGAACCCTCTTACCTTCTTCCTCTCTCAGTGTATAAAATAGATGTGTGGTATATAGGTTTATATCTGTATCTTTCTCTATTTCTTTCTCCATCTACCATGCTTGCTTCATAACTGTCTGTATTTCTATGTTCACCTCTATTTCTCTATGTCTCTCTCAGTCTCTCTAGGCAAAATAGGATATCTACTTACCTACAAAATCATACCTTCCCCTGCTTCACAGCCATGGTCGGGAGGGAGTATAGTGTAGAGTGGCTAAGAGATTGGTTTTGTAATTAGTCAGACTTAGGTCTCAAATTTCACCTCTGCCCCTTGGTAGCTGTATAACTGTGTCACTTAATTTTTCTGAGACTCATTATCCCTATCTTTGAAATAGGGGTCATAAATATATATACCCCATGCGGTATTGTAAGGAATACATAAAATTATATTTCTGAAGTGTTTAGCATGGTGCCTAACACATAAGAGTTCAGTAAATTGTAGCTGTTGCTATTGTTATTAATGCTGCTTTTGTTTTAATCTGAGTCAACTGAAGGTACAATGTCTGTCTATATAAACCTGACGTTCAATTTATATTTGGCTCTCTGAGAAACCATCTCTCTCTTAGCCCGAATGAACCTTTATATATTATTTCCTTTTTGAAATTTTTTTTTTTCAGTTAAACTAAGGTGTCTCTTTTATTGTTTAGGTTGTAAATGTCTTAAAATCCTTATTGTCAAATCTTGATGAAGTAAAGAAGGAAAGAGAGGGTCTGGAGAATGACTTGAAATCTGTGAATTTTGACATGACAAGCAAATTTTTGACAGCTCTGGCTCAAGATGGTGTGATAAATGAAGAAGCTCTTTCTGTTACTGAACTAGATCGAGTCTATGGAGGTCTTACGACTAAAGTTCAAGAATCTCTAAAGAAACAGGAGGGACTTCTTAAAAATATTCAGGTGAAATTTATATATTTAATAAGATCTATGTTTTAAAAATTACAGAAAAGATATGTCTGGACTAAACCTATATTCAATTAGGAAAATGACATTGGAGAATATCTGTAGTTAAGAGTAGAACTTAATACATGTGTATTTTGTAAAATTAAACTTGGCACATCAGTTTTATTTATATCTATGAAACAAAGTCATTTTTTTTTCTTTTTTTTTTGAGACGGAGTCTCGCTTTGTCACCTAGGCTGGAGTGCAGTGGCACGATCTTGGCTCACTGCAAGCTCCGCCTCCCGGGTTCCTGCCGTTCTCCTGCCTCAGCCTCTGGTGCCCGCCACCACGCCTGGTTAATTTTTTGTATTTTTAGTAGAGACGGGGTTTCACCGTGTTAGCCAGGAGGGTCTGGATCTCCTGACCTCGTGATCCTTCCGCCTCAGCCTCCCAAAGTGCTGGGATTACAGGGGTGAGCTACCACGCCCTGCAGAAACAAAGTTATTTCTATGGCTAAAATGTTGCATATTACTTAGGAGTGCTTGATACTTCAGATATTTTTCATGGTTCCAAGTTTTTAATAGCTTTGGTTTTTTTCCATATAGGAGGAAAATCGAAATTAGTTGGAATTACTGATACCTTTAATTATATGGCTAACATACGTACAGACTTCAGTCATTTTTTTAAAAGATAATGCAAACTAAGTATGTTGAGAAGTTTGAAGTTAGTGTTCGTGTTTACAGATAGGTAATTTGGACTAACAAAGACTTGAAATTTTGCTCTTTTAATAGTTAACGTGCAGAATTAAACTTGCATTTCTACTCCTAAATATTGTATCTATATATGATATAAAATATTCCAAAAGGTAAAATAATTTTCATGTTATATTTTTTGCAAGTGTTATATACTAATAGAAATCCATGGTCATTATTGGTTGTTTTGACTCCTATTGGATTTTTGAAATTTTTACCTAAGAAAGATTTAAAGCATAATGAGACTTCAAAAGAGTATACTAGGTAATTCTAGTAATTTTGGATATGTATTTAATTACATATGATTTTCATAATTGGAAAAGATCAATACAAATGTTATGAGCTATATTTTATAAATGTAAATACATAAATCTTTCTTTTAACAAGGTCTCACATCAGGAATTCTCGAAAATGAAACAATCTAATAATGAAGCTAACTTAAGAGAAGAAGTTTTGAAGAATTTAGCTACTGCATATGACAACTTTGTTGAACTTGTAGCTAATTTGAAGGAGGGCACAAAGGTATGAAGTACATGCAAAAGGAATCATAGCTAGCAAGTACAGATGTGAACGTATAGTTTGAGAGTTAAATGGTATTTCCAGTTGAACCAAATTACTCTTTGCCTGGAATTTTAGCTTTAACACTATTGTCTCTGTGAAGTTTGTTATAGGAGGGAGAAAGCTTAATGAAGGTGGCAACATTTCATGGGATTGCATATTTCAACTGGCAGAAAAGGGGTATAAATATTCGAGGTAGCAGGAATTAGCAGAGATGTCAGTGACACCTTTTTAAGGGATAGGAAGTTGACTGATGAATTTTGAGAGGACAGGAGTATTGACTAATTTGGGGACTGATTTGTGATGGAAAAGGTGGGGGGCATGACTTTTATATTCTGTGTGGTGGTTTGCTGAGGACAGACCTGTGGCCTGCCCAAGCGTCAAGAGGGCTTGCTAAATATGTAAGTACTTTCTTGTCTTGTCCTTTAAAAAGTTTAGGGAATTTGCTTATATTTCTTTTTACCAATTACTTTGTTTTTGAGGGAGCAGTGACTTTTAAGTTTTTTCAGATGCATAATTCCTTTTGGTACTTAACTTCATAATACTCACTGAATAAAGTTACCTTGATACAAATACAGTAGGTAAAATGTAAAACCTTCTGAAGAAAGGGTGAAAATACTGCAAAGCCTTCCAAATAGGATAGTAAAATGCCGTTTTAATTTGGTTTAAAATGCTTTGTTTAAATAGGTAAGCTGAGAAAACCCTCCGGAGAGCCTTTAGAAATTCTTTTAAGGGTTTCTGAAGTGTGCTTGCATTTCTGTAGTGAATATGAAAACCTAATCCTTCCACTTAAATAGGTTTAATGTTATTAAGTAATTGACTTTTCTCTAGGAATTAGGAAGATTTTCATGATCATGAAACTTTTAACTTGTTACATTTTTGATGATAATGTTCTGTAAAAATGATTTTATTTTTATTTTCTCTAGGAATCTTGGATCACATTTAATATTAAGTTGTTGGGCCTAGTAAATTGTATGAATGTATCTGATGCAGATTTCAGTTCTTCGGCTTTAACTATCATTGACAAATTAGCTTTAGATCACATTACTCTCTGGATTAAAAAATTGTTCTTGTTCATTACTTGTATTTGTTCTTTGGTTATAGTTTTACAATGAGTTGACTGAAATCCTGGTCAGGTTCCAGAACAAATGCAGTGATATAGTTTTTGCGCGGAAGACAGAAAGAGATGAACTCTTAAAGTAAGTCTGTTTTGTGTATCAAATTGTACTTAAAGAATTTTCTTTTAAAAAATCATGTAGAGACTTTTGGTGTGAATTTGGTAATACGAGATAGCAATTTCCCTCCTTTTCTCCTGGAAGAAGGAACTAGATCGAGTATTTTACAAAGCAACAAGCAAACAGCTGCGCAATCTGGGAATGAAAGGATGAAAAGAAGCAGAAACTCTAGATGCAGGAAGTACAGTGAGGTCACAGAAATGATAAAACAGTTCAGGTGGCAGATCTCAGGAAGTGCCAGTAAATACAAGCAATTTATTTTGAACTAGCAAATAGGTTCCTTACATAAAACTACAGCTATAGAACATGGAGGAGACAGCATGAATAGCTCAGAGAATACCAGCAAAATCACTTTCAGAAGGAGGCTGCTGAGAAAGCAGGGCCAGTTAACATACAACTCATTTTCTGCTGAGTAATCAATACAGAGTAGCACAGTGCTGATAAAAGGTAAAAAACATTAACAAAATTTAATAAAACTTCATAGATGAAGAACATTTACCAAAATAATATTGCCACAGAATAGATGAAAATTATGAGCAAACATCTGACCATGAACTAAACAACAACAACAACAACAACAACAAATACAAATGTAAGAAGGCAGTCATTCTAAGGCCGGGGTCCCCAGTCCTGGAGCCATGGACTGGTACTGGTTCGTGGCCTATTAGGAACTGGGCTGCACAGCAGGAGGTGGGTGGCAGGCAGGCAGGTGGCTGGGCGAGTATTACTGCCTGAGCCCCACCTCCTGTCAGATCAGCCACAGCATTAGATTCTCATAGGAGCGCAAACACTATTGCGAACTGCCCATGTAAGGGATCTAGGTTGTGCGCTCCTTGTGAGACTCTTAACTAATGCCTGATGATCTGAGGTGGGACAGTTTCATCCTGAAATCATCTCCCATTCCCCTGTGGAAAAATTGTCTTCCACGAAACTGGTCCCTGGTGCCAAAAAGGTTGGGACTGCGAGCACTCTAAGGAACACTTTGAGCAGAAATTCCAGAACTGCAGGAATATGGGAAGAAAACAGGAAGTGGTAAGATGTGAGGTGTCAGAATTCAGGAAAGAAGTAGAAGGGAGGAATAAAACCATCACAAAATGGGAAGGAGCAGAAAGGGCAAATAAATGCTGAAGAACACACAGGAACACAGAGTAGAAATTAGGAAATTAAAATGAAATCAAAGTCAAGAAAGAATTACAAAGGATTAGAGAGAAGATGTCACCCAGGCTGAAGTGTAATCATGCAATCTTGTCTCACTGCAACCTCCGCCTCCTGGATTCAAGCAATTCTCCTGCCTCAGCTTCCTGAGTAGCTGGCATTACAGGTGTGCACCACCACGCCTGGCTAATTTTTGTATTTTTAGTAGAGACAGGGTTTCACCATGTAGACCAGGCTGGTCTCGAACTCCTGACCTCAGGTGATCGGGATTACAGGTGTGAGCCACCCCCACAGCCTAAAAAAAGATGAGTATTCTCCATATTAGTGTTAATGATAAAAAATCTAACAAAAATTAATACAAAACAGTCTACAGACCAGTTTCAGTTATGAATATGGATGCAAAAGTCCTAAATAAAGTATTTGACAGTAATAGTCACCAGGACGTTAAAAAAGAATTATTGACAAGGGGAGGGGGGCATTTATTCCAGTATTCAGTATTCAGTGTTTTCATATCAAAGGAAGGATCACTGGTTTGTCTTAATAGATGAGGCAGAAGCATTTGAGAAAATGAGTGTTCTGATACTCAGTAAAATAAGAATAGATAGAAGATAGATGCTTCCATAACATGAAAATATATGTATGTATGTGTGTGTATATATTTCTGCCCAAAACTCAGTATAGTGATTAATGGAGAAGCACTATAAAGAGTTCCCTCCCAAGTCAAGAACAGAAAACAAATACCACTATCAGCACTATTTTTAAATACTGTACTGCAGTACCAGCCAAGGCAATCACATGAGAGAGAAATTAAAAAATTGGAAAGGAAGAAGTAAAACTAGCACTATTTACAGACATTATGATTGTACAACTACTTGAAAACCCAAGAAAACCCCAAAACTCTGCAAATAATAAAATAATTATTACTGAAGTTGTTGATCATAAATATAATTTGTAGAAATCAGTGACTTTCATGTAAATAAGCCTTTAGAAGATAAGATGGAGGAAGAGACCCACTTAAAATAGCAACAAAAAAGATAAAATATAAGTTTATAATATTTGAGATCTGTGTGAAGAAAACACTATTTCAAGGACACAAAAGAAGACTTGAGCAAGTTAAAAAACATGTTCTTGGATAGGATGACTCAACTTCATAAAGATGTCAATTCTAAGTTAACTTATACATCAGCCGGGCGTGATGGCATGCACTTCTAGTCCCAGCTACCTGGGAGATTGAAGTGGGAGGATGGTTTGAGCCCTAGGGTTCTAGGTTGTAGTGCGCTATGATTGTACCTGTAAATAGCCAGTGTACTCCAGTCTGGGCAACAGTGAGACCCTATCTCTAATAACAAACATAAATAAAGAAATAAACATATGCATTCAACATACTTTTGATTAAAAATGTCAGCAGCTTTTCATTTGGAATTAGACAAGTTGATCCTAAAGTTCAAGTAGAAAAAGAAACAAGGTCAGCCAGGAAAACAGTAAAAAGAATAGTGAAGGGATACTAGTTCTACCAGATATTAAGGTATATAATACCATCTTTAATTAAAACACAGTGATGCTGGTACATGATTAGACAAAGACAGAATAGAAAATAGAAATAGATTCAAATACATATGTGAATTTAGTGTAAAAGATCTTCAGCCAACCAGAAGAGGTTGTGGACAACTGCCCAGCCATTTAGAAAATAAAAGTTATCTGTATACCAAAGTAAGTTCTGAGTGGACCAAACTTGAAATTTGTAAATGATATATAAGGTGTAAAATAGAATGGAGAATTCCTTAATAAAGCTGGGATAGGCAGCATCTAATAACTCCTACTTAAATTCCAGAAGGTATTAAAAAAAAAGAAAAGAATAAGTTCCTCACAGAAATATGGTAAACAGAGTCAGGATATAACAAATTGGGAATCCAATATTTGAAACTTATTCACAGGCAAAAGGCTAATTTACTTTATTTAGAAAAGAACTCCTAGAAATCAATGAGAAGAAAACCCAATAGAAAACTGAGGAAAAGACGCAAACAGAATTTTGCAGACAAGGAAATATAAATGGCTCTTAAATAAATGAAATAAAAAAAAGAATACCCTCATTCATTATAAAATACAAATTAAAATTAGTCTGAAATAATATTTTTCAGTTTGGCAAGAATCCGAAAGTTTGATAATATGCTTTGTTGTCACATGTTGGAGAAATAGATTTTATATATTGCCGTGAGAATACACAATGGTGCAATCCTTGTGTTGGGCAGTTTAGCTGTAAAGAATAAGACTACTAACGCAAACATCCTTTAATCCAGCTATTCTGTTTCTGGGAATCTATTCTGAGGATATATTAGAAAATGCTAGAAATGACATATTTATGAGCTTATTCATTTCTGCATTGCAAATAGCAGTAAAAAAGTAGAAACAAATAAAGTGACCAGGCTGCTGAAATAAAGCTATACTTGTATAGTGAAATGCTGTGCAGCTATTTTAAAAAACAGGATGTTTTCAATTTACTGATATGGAAAGATCTTCAAGATAGTTATGGTAAAAAGACGCAGAACAGTGTGTAGAGTATGCTTTGGGTAAAAAGGAAGAAGATAATAAACATAGAAATTGACTTGTTTATGCACAAGGAAGCTCTGGATATTCTAAGGAAGAAAGATTGGAATATTGTTATTTTAAATATTTTATAATTCATATATCTAAAAATCAGGTTTGTTGCTATTTGTGTGTATATTTATTATATACACTTGTCAAATATTTTCAGCTCAGTGATTGAAAGGTGAATGAAAGATGGAAAAGTAGGCCATATAATAATATTAGCTTTTGAATATCTGAGAGTTTATTTTGTTAGTCATTGTTAATACTCAAGGCCAAAATACTTTGAAATCTTACTGAATATAATGTATACTGGAAAAGTATATGTAAGTGTATATCTTGTTGAATGTTCACAAACTGAGTACACCCAGGCAACCAGCACTTAGATCAATACACAGAAAATTCTCAGCACCCTAAAAGCATTGTTAATGCATCCACCCAGTCAGTCTTTCTTTATCTTTCTCTTCCAGGGCAACCACTATCCTAACTTGTGAGAGAACATAGATTACTTTCTCCTGTTTTTGCATTGCATATAAATAGAATCACATATGATGTACTCTTCTATGACTGGCTTTTATTCTACATTATATTTGTGAGATTCATCAGTATAAGTTGTGTGTATTTGTAGATCTTTTATTCTCAGTTCTGTATATATTTTATGTGAATATACAAGTTATTTATTCTGTTGAATATTTTGAGTAGTTGCTAGTTTTGAGCTTTTGTAAATAGTGCTGGCATGAATGTTGTAAATCACTGCTGTCCAATATTGCTGGTAGCAGTAAAAATATAGAAACAAGTCAAATGTCTGGTTCTGGTTAATTAAATAAAACTATATCTATATGGTGAAGTACTATGCAGTGACATATGCAATGGAAAATGTAAAATTTGTAGTAGCTGTAGTTAAAAAACAGGTGAAATTAATTTCAGTATTTCATTTAACCCAGTATGTCCAAAGTATTATCATTTTAACATATAATCAATGTAAAATTATAAATGAGAGATATTTTACTTTTTTTCATACTAAGTCTTAGAAATCTAATGTGTGTGTGTTGTTTTTTTTGGGTGAGATAGAGTCTTGCTCTGTCGCTTAGGCTGGAGTGCAGTGGTATGACCTCGGCTCACTGCAACCTCTGCCTCCTGGGTTCAAGCAATTCTCTGCTTCAGCCTCCCGAGTAGCTGGGTTTACAAGCGCCTACCACCAAGCCCAACTAATTTTTGTATTTTTAGTAGAGACGGGGTTTCACCATCTTGGCCAGGCTGATCTGGAACTCCTGACCTCGTGATCCACCTGCCTCGGCCTCCCAAAGTGCTGGGATTACAGGCGTGAGCCACCGTGCCCAGTTTAATGTGTATTTTATACTTACAACACATCTCAATTCAGACTAGCCACATTTCAGATGTTTGATAGCTATATGTGGCTAGTGGTTACTGTATTAGACAGTACATGCTTTTGGTGAGCATGTTATATGCGGTGCTGTTGGGTATATATCTAGGTCAAAGGGTATGTGTATGCTTAGTTGGTATTTCAAATAGTTTCCAACGCGATTGTACTAATTTATATTCCTCCTAGCAATATCTGAGAGTTCTGGTTGCTCCACATTTTTGCCCTTAGCTATATTCTGCTGGGTTTGTAGTATTATCTCATTGTATGAGTTTAATTTTCATTTTCCTGATGACTAATATGTCCTTTTTATATGCTTATTAGCTGGAGGCTTTGCTTTTTAATTTCTGTTTTCATTGAAATCTTTCATCAGAAATTTAAAGAGTTTAAGAAGAATGAGTGTTTTACTCTGAGCTTTACTTTCTTTTTACTAATGGTTTGAAAACCATTTTCAGATTGTTGGGCATAGGAATACTGGTGGCATTTTTAAAATATCTTTTTGCTCTTTTACATTATTGGTTTTATTTAATAGCATTGATTTATATCTTTTGTAAGTGGCTAGGAAATTATCATTTGCCCTATAAATGTGTTATTTACTGCATCCGTCCCTAGAGTTTATCAAAGGAAAAAAGGTATTGTGTTAAAGCTTTATTATATATATATATATTTTTTAGATATTTCCAAATCTGACCTTTTAGAATTTTGATATTAAAAACTTATTAATAAATAATAAGCAGTTATTTACTTGTATTAATAAGTAGCTTTTTTTTTTTGATGAATGTATGCTAGTTTTCTTTATGTCTGGGGTGATTGGGGCCCTTCTTGAGGGAAGTTGGGATGCGAACAATGTGGGGCTTTGCTGTTACTTGTTAAATCAGGGCAAAAGGTACTGTCTCAGACATTTTGGGACATGTCATATTTACTTCTCTGTGTACATTAATCAGTGCAGTGAAAAGATGATTGACATCATGTATTACATGAAGTGCATTTTACCTTAGGTATTGTTTAGTGTGGTTTTGGGATGAATTTCAAATTACTGTTAGAGAAGACAAAATTTTCTAATTTTTAGTACTAAATTGTAAGTATTTTCAGCAATATGTCTTTCATGAGTTTACCTTAGTGACAGGTCATGTGTTATCTTTTAACACAAAATATCTCAATACCACATTTCTTTGAATATCTTCAGAAAGTCTTTATCTAGAAATTTACATAATGGTTTGCATAAAAGGTTAGCTTTTTCATCTGTTTTATTTTGTATAAACACTGATAAAGTGATTAAAACACTGGCTACATAACTATGAGTCATTGTAGTTTTCTGATAACTTTTAGATAGATGATGTTAGGAGTTTTTTAAATCCAGGGACTACCTTTTATTAGAGGGTGGGCAGTCTTTTAGGATTACTTGCCCAGTTTGACATGTTTCTTACTCTAGCTATAACTGTGATCTCTGAAAATGTTTACTATTTCCCCCTAGTCTTCAGAAATAGAAAAAAGATACAACTTCATTTTATTAAACATTAGGAAGAAAGAGGATTTAGATTCTAGTCAAGAATAGAAATGTAGTATATTTTATTTTTTTCAGTTTTTGTTATATTGATAAATAATTGTACATATTATGGGGTACATGTGATACTTTGATCGTGAATACAACGTGTAATAATCAAATCAGGGTAATTAGGATATTCATCACATATTTGTGGGGCACATGTGATATTTTGATACATGAATACAATGTATAATAATCAAATCAGGGTAATTAGGATATTCCTCATCTCAGACGTTTACTGTTTCTTTGTGTTGGGAACATTCCAAATCTTCTAGCTATTTTGAAATACACAATAAATTATCATTAACTATCATCACCCTATGGTACTATTAAACACTAGAACTTATTCTATCTGGCTGTATTTTTGTACCCATTATCCAACCTCTCTTGATCCCCACCCCCTACTCTTCCTTGACTCTAGTAACCATCATTCTACTCTCTGTCTCCTTGTTTTTAGCTCACACATATGAATGAGAACATGCAATTATCTTTCTGTGCTGGGCTTATTTCGCTTAACATAATGTCCTCCATTTCCATCCGTGTTGCTGGAAATGACAGAATTTCATTTTTTTTATGGCTGAATAATATTCCATTGCATATATATACTACACTTTATCCATTTATCTGCTGATGGACACTTAGGTTGCATTCATATCTTGGCTGTTGGAAGTGCTGCAACAAACATGGGAATATAGAAATCTCTTCAATATATGGATATCCTTTCTTTTGGATATATACCCAGCAGTGGGATTGCTGGATCATATGGTAGATCTAGTTTTAGTTTTTTGAGGGACCTCCATACTGTTTTCCATAGTCGCTGTACTAATTTGAAATGTAGTATATTTTAAAATGCCATCATTGTTTGGAATCTGTTTTCTATGTTTCGTGTATGAAGAAAAGAAAAGCTGGTATTTTATGTGTGTTCATTGTTTTCTATCATGTTAATTTTTAACACTTTGTCTTTGATAAGGGACTTGCAACAAAGCATTGCCAGAGAACCTAGTGCTCCTTCAATTCCTACACCTGCATATCAGTCCTCACCAGCAGGAGGACATGCACCAACTCCTCCAACTCCAGCGCCAAGAACCATGCCGGTTAGTAGGCAAATAAATATTTTAAACAGAGGTTTTACATTAGTGATGATTACTTGTTTTAATGGATAAAACATGGTTTACATAGGAAGGATCTAGTGGTTACCACCTGCATCAGGTAACCAACCTCCTGATATTTTGCGATATGTAAAACACAGCATCATTCAAGAATTCTTAACCAAAAAATGCTTAACCTGAATCTAATCAAGCCCTTAAACAAACTTTCTGTTTACAGCAAATAAAACAAATGATAAAATGAGAAGTTAAATTATGCCATTAGGAAACAATTGGACAAATCTATCACATGGGACATTTATATGAAATAACTGAGTTGATCTTTTCTAAAAGTGAGTGTCATAGGTTTTAAAAAAAGGGCATATTCTAGATGAAAAGAGATGAAAGTTTCCTTATAATCAAATGCAATATATGAACTTTGAGTTGATTTTGGTTTATAAAAATAGCTATATGAGCTTTTTTGTGTTAATTAGGGAAAATTGAATTTGGAGTGGATATTTGATGACATTGGGGAATAGCATTAGTTTTTTAAGGATGAAAATGGTATTGTGATTATGTAGGATAATATCCTTATGAGAACTTGAGTGCTGAAGTCTTTAGGGCTAGTGTCATGAAGTTTGCAACTTACTTCAAACGATTCTGCAAATATATATGGATGTAGTTACAGATAAAGCAGAAATGGCAAATGTTAATAGTTATTGAATTTCATTGGCAGATGTGTGATTATTTTATATACTATTCTTTTAAAATTTTCTGGTGTTTGACATTTTTCATATAGAGTTTGGGGACTGGGAGGAGATGATGGTAGTAAATAGTACCTGTGCTGCTTTCTTCCACCTCAAATGTCCAGCCACTCAGGAAGCAGTAAATGATTAAATATTAGGCACCAGGAAAAGAGCAGTGGCTATGGAGTTTCCACAGATTGGAGAATTATTCAACTATGATATATTGCTATAGTAATAAGCCAGTATTTAAGAATGGGAATTAAAAATATATTTGGTTGGATTCTAGAGTTTCTCATATGTCCTTATTAATTTTAATTAATAGCAATTTGAGAGAAATGAAACATTTTATGGTCAATGCTGACTTTTTCTTATAGCCTACTAAGCCCCAGCCCCCAGCCAGGCCTCCACCACCTGTGCTTCCAGCAAATCGAGCTCCTTCTGCTACTGCTCCAGCTCCAGTGGGGGCTGGGACTGCTGCACCAGCTCCATCACAAACACCTGGCTCAGCTCCTCCTCCACAGGCCCAGGGACCACCCTATCCCACCTATCCAGGATATCCTGGGTAAGGCTTCAACATCATGTATCCCAAGTTGGCTAATATTGTTTCTAGGCTCTGGCTAACCTGTTAAAAACAGGGTCACCCCTTCTCCAAATGGAAGTGTCATGAATGAATAAGCTACACTGTCAGCTTATCCAGAAATGAAAATAATGTTATGGTCACTTACATGAATAGGATAGCTATTTCCTAGGCTTTTAAAATTTGTTTTTATACTTTACATATTGGATTTATATTAAATAATCTCTTCTGTTTAGAGTTCAGTAGGTGTTTCCTTGGACTTTAGGTGATAAACAGATACCTTTTGTGAGCGTAGCATAGCAAAACTGATAAGGCCTTGTTTACATCCCTATACTTAGAATACTTGGCATTTAATAAACAGTTGAATAGAAATTTATCTAATTATGGGTTGCACTTTCTTAAAGGTTAACCTCTGTGATAATTTCTTAATCTTAAAAATCCAAACATTTGACTACCTTTTAAGATGTGCTCTAAATTTTACTTAGTAAGTACATGTTGTCTTCCAAATATTAGAACTTTTAAAGTTATAAATTTATGTACATCACAGTGAATATTGAATATTGTGGAAGAGGAATGTATTTAGATGACTAGTTTTGCCACATTAAAATGGAAAGTCTCCATTTTTTTTCTTTCTTTTAATACTTGAATATTTAGTCTTATTTTCTTCGGTATTTTTTTGGATAGTATTAAACACTTGGTACTCTTTTGTTGTAATTGAGAACAGGATAGGAATGCTTTTGTCTGACAAGTGCCTTGAAACAGTTTTTCTCTCTCCACTGTTCTTTAATAGACTAAAAAATAGAAATGACTTCCATGAAAAACGTAGTTCTAGAATAATTATTGTTTTATTTTTTAGTATTTGATTTACCAATCAAGTTTTTTTTGTTTTCTTCTCCCTATCAGGTATTGCCAAATGCCCATGCCTATGGGCTATAATCCTTATGCATATGGCCAGTATAATATGCCATATCCACCAGTGTATCACCAGAGCCCTGGACAGGCTCCATACCCAGGACCCCAGCAGCCTTCATACCCCTTCCCTCAGCCCCCACAGCAGTCTTACTATCCACAGCAGTAATATGTCTGCTCAGCAGTTCAGCTGATTCAGATCAGAGGGAAAGAAATACCAACCCTGCAATAAGTGTACTAAACTCTACGCTCTGGTTAATGTAATGTACTCTCCTGGACTGAATGCAGTGTATAATTTCTGTCTACAGCTAGAAGCTGTGCCCCACTTCCACATTTGATTACACATGTGAGATTTGCTGCTGTTGCAGTATAAACACTAGGTATAATAGGATTTGAAATTGTATTACAGTTCATAAAAATTGAAAATGAGACATTAAACCTGCAAGTGAAACATTTGAAACTATTATACTTTCTACATAAGACACGGTTGGGACATCAGATACTTTACAAAGATGGTTTAAGTATGGATACTCGAGAAAATTAAGTTTTCTTTCCCTTTAGTTTATTGATTTGGTTTAATTTCCATTATGCTATTTTACATAATCAAGGCATTGTAAATCTTATAATTTTAAAATAAATTACTTAAGAACAGTTGTCATTGTTATGTTTTGTTATTGATTCTCATTACTGTCTAATTTTTTTTTTCTGGTATTAGTCTCATTTTGTATGTATATAAGTTAAACATATACTGTTTCTTAAGTGCATGAATAGTACAAGTTATTATCAAGGACGTTTTATAGGGAAACCAAAAGAATAGTATCATAGTTTATCTTTCATATGCTGATTAGTAAACGACTTTTGACATTTATTTTAAAAAGTCCTATAATGTGGAAGAAACAAGCAATTGCTACCAAAGATTCTTCAAATAAATATACAAATAAATGTGTATATTTAATGTTTTATTGTTAGCTTCTCCAGAAAATTGATGCAAATTCTGGTAATAATTCTTGCATTTTTTTCCCCGTAACCTGGTTAAAATAAATATGCCATTGACAATACTTCATAATGTAATGGAATTGTTTGGGGAATACTTACTGTACCCTCTTATCCTTTTTTCCACCTTACTGTGTTAACTTAGTGACATTTAATGCCCAATATGTATGAATAGATCTAAGCCATTTAATTTTTTTTCCTTAAAGATTGGACTATTTTATAATTCAAGGAGCATACAAAACAATGGTTGGGAACATATGCCAATTCTGGAGTAGGCTATGTATTTAATACTCATCTCTGCCGTTAGGATATCTACTCACTGTATAAACCTCAGTAAAAATAGTGAAGACATGCATCATGGAATGAGAAAATGAGAAAGGAATGAGTTGTCTAACATCGCAGTGGGATCTGTTTTATGTGAGGTTCATTTCTGAACACATTAGGCATATGAGCAGATTTCCAATGAATCTATTTATGTTTATTTTCTGAGTTTCAACGCTGACCTTTTCTTGCATTATTGTTTCATTTTAATGATAGTGTTGCTTGTCCCACTATTGTTTTCATTGACAGTTTGGATTTATATTTTAAATGTTCGAATGAAAGTATGATTGTAAAAGGGAGTGAATTGGTTTAAAAATATATGTATATTTTAAACTTTGTTGTGTGTAGGAAACATGGAGGCATGTTAATTCAATATAAATGGCTTTGATTTCATGGAATATTAAAATTGGTTTAAAGTCCAATAGTTAAACCTTAGCAAAAATAGTTTTTTACTTTATCAATTGCTAAGATTTAATACTTTGGATTCATCAAAGTGTGACATGGGCTTGTTTGACTATTCTGTAAGTGGCATTTAAGTTCCACATTCTTATTACTTGAGGTACTTTATACTAACATAAGACACTCAGTGAGAGTTAGAGGTATTACAAATTGCTAGTTTATAATGTCTTACTAATGCAGAAAAAAGGAAAAAACAAAATTGGCCTGAATATTCTCTTGGGGAAAGAGGGCACCAAAGAAAAGGGTAAGTGCATCTGAGGGCCAAAAAGAGATGTATAAGCCTTTTAGCCCATTCCCCATGCTGGGCCTGCTCCCAGAGCCACAGGAAGATCATTCAGAAACTAGGAAAGGAGGCCCCCACAGCTGCTCCTGCCACAGCACACCTGACTCTCATCGGCTCTGTTAGTGTAACCTTTTAAATGTAGCAGCCCAAACCCTTTTCCTCTTGTCAGTTCATTCATCGTTTGGTTTCTTTTTGATCACCTGTGTCTGGGCACAATCAGTCACATGAAATGCAGCCCTTTATTGCTGTTACGGATAATACTGTTGATTTGGAGTTGGAAGGGTACTACTCTGTGGTTCAGGTGTGTTGTACCCATGTTTATAATTAGGCTTTATTATCTTCCTAAACCAAGGAAAGGAAATCATCCCCAGACCATTTATGTTGAGCTTTGGAATACTATTTTAAACTGGATTATACTTAAATAATGAAGCTCTGCATAGAGGAACTAGTCAGAAGTAGGGAAAACACTGTCTAGTTTTTATCAGTCTGGTATAAAGTATTGATCTAAGAGAACTCTTCCTGTGCCCCTTGGTCTTTATTCTCAGTTAAGAAAAACAGTCACATGTCACCACAAACCAATCAATCTTTATGAGATACTCCTGTATCCATACCCCAGCTTGTTTGCAATTTATAATCCTCCCCTTCAAAACTAAGAAGTTACAGAAAAAAAGAAGGGATTTCACAGAGCCTCGTGTCCCTAAAGTTCTATCCCAGTCAGCAGTCTTTATAGTCAAAACAGATTTAAAAAAAATGTTTTCCATTTGAGCTTTACAGTTAGCAAAAGTGCTTTTATACATGTTCTGATTTCAGAAACAGGATAATATAATTTGTTAAGTAGGTTTCAGTTTGCTAATAGGGATTTTTTGTGTTTTGTTTTTTAATTTTCAGCATCTCTTGAAGAATCTTGCTACAGCCAAATGGCGTCTCACTTTTTAGAGATGTTTGCAATTATTAGTTGATTCACAGTACAGAACAAGGTGTAAAGGAAAAAACCCTGCTCGGTAGTGTTATAGTTGCTGGATTAAAAATAGACATTAGAACTAACAGGTTCATTATAAGATTTACATGGAAGAGCAAAGAAGGAAAAATTATATTTTTAAAGAAAGAGAATATTCAGGCTTTATTTCTGGTATGAAGTTTATATTTTTAAAAAAAATCCTATATTATCACACCAGAGATTTTAGATTCTTTTCTGGTTAGAAACATTGCTGGTAGTTGGATTATATTTTTATTGTATTCATTTATCTTAGGGGGAAAATTGTAAAGAAAAAAAAAAGGTCCAGATGAATGTATCCTAGAAATAAAAGTTGAAAGATTCTTACTTCTTTGGAGTATGAATTCTTATTTAAAGTGTTTATTCTTCAGCTTTATAGTTCCCATTATTTCTTTGACAAATGGTGAATTGGAAAATGTAAAAAACCCAGTTTGACTAAATGCATGAGACTACAAAAGGGAGACAGTGTTTAATTTTTTTTTTTTTTTTACACCTGCAACCTGATAATTTAGTGGTCATGGATGGGCCATGGTTTTCATTGCTTATGTGATTTACTCTAGGAGTATTCTTTTCAAATACCACTTTTTAGGTCAATTTTTGGAAATTATCAGCAAGATTACCATAATAATCAGCTGATCAGGGGAGTGGGGATGGGTTCTGCTGCAGCCCGCCCCGCGTGAAGGTGACTGAGAAGCTGCGTGCTTGGCCTGCTTTAGTATTTACCACTACCACAGGGCAGGATTGGCTTAGGAATGCCCTGTGAGCAGATCGACTAGAGCCTGTGAACCAGAGGGCTCCATCCCACTGAGCCTCAGGTCACAAGCTACTGCCAGTCTGTGTCCCTGCCCAATGACTGATCTTACCTTTGTAGGTTATCAGTTTGGGACACATCCAAGTTGTCCGCCTTTTCTCCTCATTGGCGCTCTGCAAAGGATCCTGGCTTCTCTCAGTTCTGTGGCTCCCGCGATCCTTTCTGCTTAAAAGTTGCTTAAGTTATGAATACAAGTGATACAGGTGAAGAGGTTCGAGTCTCTTACCACTGTTTTTAAATTTTCCTATATTTTTAGCTGTTTTAAGCTTTACACACTTTGAAGCTCACGTGATTCGCACTCAAGTCTGTCTTTATTGTGAACATGAAGTGGCCCTTTTCCATCTTGCAGTATATTCTATTTTTTGAGGCAAGGTCTCGCTCTTGCCCAGGCTGGAGTGCGATCTTGGCTCACTGCACCCTCAAATTCCTGGACTCAGTCGATTCAACCTCCTCAGCCTCCTGAGAAACTGGGACTACAGGCACCTGCCACCATGCCTGGCTAATTTATATATATATATATAAATTATATGTGTATATATATAAATTATATATATAATTTATATATAATTTAATATAAATTATATATAAATTATATATATAAATTATATATAAATTATATATATAAATTATATAAATTATATATAGATTATATATATAAATTATATATAAATTATATATAGATATAAATTATATATTATATATATATAAATTATATATATATATATTTTTTTTTTTGTAGAGGTGGAGGTTTCACCATGTTCCCCAGACTGGCCTTGAACTCCTCAGCTCAAGCAACCCACCTGCCTTGGCCTCCCAAAGTGTTAGGATTACTGGCATGAGCCATTGCACCTGGCTACCTTTTTATATGACTACTCTTGTTTTGTTTTTGGATGTATTAGCAGGTTTTCTGATCTAATGTGTGCACCTGCTTTAGTTTGAGATGTTTAGATTTAGTTACTTGACTCAACCTTTTTTTTTTTTGTAATTTAAAAGGGAAGTTTAACGATTTTGGTAAAATTAAATGATCTTTTGATAGTTTTGTCTGATACAAATATTTAATCCTTTCTATTTTCTATATCTGTCTTTCATTGCTTGAATTATGTGTTCTTTTATGTTTCCTAGTTGTTTGAAATATTATTACCTGCAATTTTAAAAGCATTAATATTCTTTTTTTCCTTCTCAGCCATATGTTGTTTCTTAAAAAGTAGGGGATGGGTTGGACCCAGTGGCTCACGCCTGTAATCCCAGCACTTTGGGAGGCCGAGGTGGGAGGATCACCTGAGGCCAGGAGTTCGAGACCAGCCTAGCCAACATGGCGAAACCCGTGTCTACTAAAAATACAAAAAATGAGCCAGGCGTGGTGGTGGACGCCTGTAGTCCCAGCTACTCGAGAGGCTGAGGCAGGAGAATTGCTTGAACCCAGGAGCTGGAGACTGTAGTGAGCTGAGATCCGGCCATTGCACTCCAGCCTGGGCGACAAGAGTGAAACTCCGTCTAAGAAAAAAAAGGGGGGCCGGGCGCGGTGGCTCAAGCCTGTAATCCCAGCACTTTGGGAGGCCGAGACGGGCGGATCACGAGGTCAGGAGATGGAGACCATCCTGGCTAACACGGTGAAACCCCGTCTCTACTAAAAAATACAAAAAACTAGCCGGGTGAGTTGGCGGGTGCCTGTAATCCCAGCTACTCGGGAAGCTGAGGCAGGAGAATGGCGTAAACCCGGGAGGCAGAGCTTGCAGTGAGCTGAGAACCGGCCATTGCACTCCAGCCAGGGCGAAAGAGCGAGACTCCGTCTCAAAAAAAAAAAAAAAAGGGGGGGGGGGAGGGGATGGGGAAGGGAAATCAAATAAACAGAGTTTAGGCTAATAATTGCTAATGCACTATTATTTTTACATTGTACATCTTGATTATACTTGTTGATATTTGCATTTTTTAAATTACTTGATTTATAAAATATGTAAACACAGTCTATTATAACTTGGTTATAGCTGGTCCTCTTCTCTTTTCCCTTCTTGGGATGGCTTTTGAACATTCAGGAGGTTTGTTCTTGCCTTCTTTCTTACACCGGTCTCACTCTGCCTCCAGCCTGCAGGCTTCTCTGTTGCCAGTAGGTGCCAGTGATTGTGGACAAGGAACTCCCCGAGGGGCCAGTGTCGTCTTCTTCCACTGAACCCTGGAAGGAATGGCCCCTTCAGCCTTCATCAGCCCACCACAATGGACTGGGCTGCATAATGTATTCTTTTTAAAAGTAGTATGTGTTTTTGAATAGGCAATACACACACGGTATAAATTTCAAAAGGCAGAAAATGGTGTAAGTGTCCCTTGACCCAGTTTTCTTCCTTAAGGCAGTCTCCACTACCAGTGCACACAGGGTTCACGTTGTATTTAGACTTACCAACTCCCAGAAGCAGGTGTGTTGTGACCCTCTGTGGAAGGGACACAGTGAATTGTGATAGTTGCATCTAAAACTGGAGTTTTTTTCTTTCATAGAGACCAAAGACTGTTTTTAGCTAGAGCATTATTTCTAAGTTCAGCCACACCTGACATTATTAACAACAGTAACATGTATTGAATCACTACCAATCTCTAATCCCACTATGCTTTATGTTTTTTTCAAAATTATCCAAAGTATGTATCATAATTTTTTAAATGAAGATTTGCATTTTAGACTGATATTTAAGTAGTTTTCAGCAAGAAACTTTTAACATTGAATCACAGAGAATAGCTATACCTAGAAAGGGATGAGAGCATAATCACATTTAATTCCTTTTGACAACGTCAGGCAGAATAATGGCCTGTGTCTGTTCCCCAGCACCTGTGAATACGTTAGGCTACGTGGCAAAGGGGAATTAAGATTGCTAATCGTCTGACTTGAAAATAGGGAGATGATTTTGGATTATCAGGCTGGATCCAGTGTGATTTCCGTTTCCTAAAAGTGGAAGGAGGAGATGGAAAAAGGAGAAAAGGACAGATGGCAGAATGAAAATGATTTGACCCAATGCTGCTGGCTAAGAAGATGGGGCCATGAGCCACAGAAAGTGGGCAGCCTCTAGAACCTGGGAAAGGGAAGGAAGATTCACCCCTAGATCCTACAGAAGGAAGGCCTACACAGGCCTGCCAGCACCTTGACGTCAGTTCTGTGAGACTCATTTTGGACTTCAGATTTCCAGAACTGTAAGATAAATTTGTGTTGTTTTAAGTCACTAAGTTTGTGGTAGTTTATTACCATAGCAACAGGAAATAAATTATACTCAGTTTGGTTTATTAGCAATTTCTTTGTTCCGCTCCCCGGGTTATGCTGAATATACTGCATCCTCTGACTTCTCTCATCAGCAGGAAGGTGGGAATTTACAACACGGTGGTGACTCCACAAAGGCCACGTGCACCCAGCGTTGGCTGCACCATTCCCTTTAATGAAAGAGTATTTGGCTCCTAAAGGAAGATTCACTTTCTTACTTCTTATTTCATATTTTAAGGTCTTTATATTATTCCCTTTCCCTAACAGTGTCTTTTATCACTATTGGGGTTTTCAGAAAGGAAATACAATGTAGATGGAAATGAGGCAACTGCATAAGGGAAGGCACTTTGAAACAGACCACAGTGCTGTGGAAGAGAGGTCTGTTGACTTTTTTTCCTTATAAGTAATGTGTTACAAAACTTTTAACCATTAGAATTGAATTTTTTCTCCAGCAAAGGTCTGTCTTTAGTCAAATTACCTGGTAATATATGAACTTTTTTTTTTTTAAAATAGATTTTTAAAGAGCGGTTTTAGGTTTAAATAGAGGAGAAAGCATAGAGTTCCCTTGTACCCCCCTTACCCCAGCCCTTCACAGTTTCTCCTATTGTTAACATCTTATATTAGTGTAGCTCATGATTACAACTGATGAATCAGTATTCACACATTATTATTAACCAAAGTACCTAATTTATGTTAAGGCTCATTTTCTGTGTTGTACATCTATGGAGTTTTGCCAAATGCATAATGTCATGTATTCACCATCACAGTCTCATATTTCACTGTCCTAAAAATCCCTTGTGCTCCACCTACTCACCCTTCTCCCCAACCCTTGGCAACCATTGATCTTTTTATTGTCTCTAGAGTTTTGTCTTTTTCAGAATGTCATACAGTTAGAATCATACATTTTCAGACCGCCTTCTTGGCCTGTAAGTTTCCTCTATGCCTTTTTGTGGTTTCGTAGCTCATTTCTTTTTAGTGCTGAGTAATATTCCATTGTATGAGAATACTGGATATATCAGTTTGGTTATCCATCTATGTTTTGAAAGACACACTTGTTGCTTCCAGTTTTTGGCATTTATGAATAAACATTAATGTGCAGGATTGTATGGACATAAATTTTTAACTTATTTGGGTGAAAACCTGGAAGCACAATTGCTGGATCATATAAGACTCTGTTTTGCTTTGTAAGAAACTGCCCAACTGTCTTCCAAAGTTGCTGTACCATTTTGCATTCCCACCAGCACTGAATGAGAGTTCCTGTTTCCCCACATCCTTGCTAGC